TTTCTTCAATAGGTAACTACTGTCTGACTTTGGCTTATGAATAAAGGGGGGCAAGTTTCTGTAGCTTATTAGTTTGAGTACGGATGTTTCACTTATTAAATTGCGATAATATTTTTGAATTCAAGACCACCTAAGTGAGAATAATAACTACCCATAGGGTCCAGTTTTAAACAGAACACCAACAAATACAATTATCTCCTATGTATGTTCCTTCACAGAAAGAAAATATGCTTTAAATGAACAATTTGAATATCGAAATAGAATGAGATCTATGCATAAAAGCACTTATTCATTCACTTAACCGCAACGGAAAGACGTTTTCCCTGCCATTAGTTCAAGTTAGTAACTACATTTTGTACCTACAACAATCTGAGTGGAGTGACGGTGTAAATAGGGAAATTCAAGTCCGAAATGGTTTTAGTGTCGGTCTTATCTATCTAAAATCTCGGATTTTACCTTTAGCTACCCCTTTAACAGGCCCAGGGTGTTTGTCGAATCAGCCCTATCCGGTTAAAAACTCAATTGTGTATTTCTTTCCTTCATGATCGTGGGAATGTAGGAGAAGAAAAACGGAAAAATGTAAGCAGTTGTGCTGGTCATACCAAGGCAACATGGTTGTAGCTGAGAAAGAACAAAGTTAATGTTATCGTACATAAATCACAGAACAAGGAAGCAGGAGGTAGCCTCTCCCAGGCCCCTCTCCTACGTTTCGGATCGGAAAAATATCGCAAGCGCAGACAGATTTTTACGCCGAACATTTCGTTTCGTGACGAATGGTTTCATCAGGATCGCGTTCGGGGAAATCATCGACTACCTAATAAGTTTAATCGACTACAGATACGCTAAACAGTGGTAAGATTGCAAATAGGTTTGCTTGAATCAGCGAGCTACGCGAAAGGACAGCCAAGGAAATTTGAGAGGGGATATGAGTTCGGATTAGTTCAAATGAATTGTACCAAAACAGTGTCCCCAAGGCTGATTTAACTTCTTACATCCGTATGTGGGTGGTCGCAATTCTTTACTCTTTTGAAAATAATCATGCATGGAAACGGAACCCAACCAAAACACTGAAAAATCATCGACCTCTTTATAGAGCTGACATAGTGGAGAGTAATGTTTTCGTCAAAACCCAACCCACTAATTAAGAACTGTTTCCTTTTTAATTCAGTGGGATCTCATTAGTTTGTCTTTAGTTCAGATAGCAGTCCAACGCAAGGATGACTTTGGAAGCAAGGTATGATAAAATTAAAAGTTCCCATGAAAGCTACTTTCTCAATTTTAGAACTACCGAAAGAGAATGAATTTAGATTATTAATAAGTGTCGAGATTGTTGGCGAAATTAATTGTGTAATCCTCCCATGCAATTCTCGTGATCTGAAACATTGTGTTTTCACAATGCAGTTACCTGATCGCTTCCTTGCAAATTGAATTAATAATTCTCCAGTATTGTAATGAAAATAGATAAAGAATTCATAAATGGCTAAACGGTTCCAACGATCTGTTACGATTCTCAAGTTCCTTGTAACTTTATCACGTAACCTTGGTCACGCTGGGAAAATCGGAACTGATGTTGTTGTGCTTTGTTCTTACCGTTGTCTGAACCAACAAAAAGGCACGGGACAAGGTTACATCTCAACTGTCGGGTTTCATTAATGATGGAATTTAATTTTTAAGCAACTCCTTTTCAGTGAGTTTCAAAGGTAAATTTGGATTGAAATTATAACCTCTTCCAGGCGCTCAGCTAGAATAGTAGCAGCGGAACTACTCCAGTGCAAAACTGACGCAACAAAGTGAAAATATTAATTCATCTTTTCTTTCTGTTTGGCTGCTTTGATAAACCTGCCCTAAGCTTCAAGAAACTTAACGAAAGCAGGGTTCAAGAGCGGGTGCAGGAGGAAGGTTCGGGGCGTCCAGATTCCCTCCCCTCCGCTCCCACCTCATCAGACGAGTGGATTTTCAACTCCTTGTCTGACGCCAAAATTCTTACACGACAGGATGTTTCTACTCAATATGAAGTACAGAAAACTTACTCGTCTAGAAATATTTCATTGCTAATTTAAGCTGCACTATAACAAAAAATACCTTTGTTTTCTGAGTCAAAGTCTGGACCCCTACCTTCTAGATCCACCCCTGAGTTAAGTGTTATCGGTGATTTAGGATCGTATATATGATTGTGCTTTTGGGACTCTTTTGGGTAATATGCCTATGTACTATGTGGTAAAATAAGAGATGTCTGGAAAGATGTGTATGACGTGAAAGATCAGGCCCACTAATCTATTTGATCTGAAACACGGCAAACAATAATAATTAGCCTTCATTTAAAGCCCGTCTCAATCCCCCTGTTTACAACCAGTTGTTTTACTACAGATTTCCTTATCCTTATAAGATCCAAACGCAAAATCATGAATTCAACGCCTTTAGTTTTCTTTTGTTTTCCCTTTTGTACGCTGTTGTATGTTATCACAATTTCAAATCGCTCGCATGGAATGTGTCAGTTCAAAAAAATTTGTGTGGTTTTTTCACATAACTATTATAGTTAAGATTTATCATTTTCATTACATAGAGGAAGTTTCTCAGTTAGTTCGTTTCGCTATTCGGAGGCAGTAGTTCGGAGGCAGTAGTTCTCGCAAATCGCATCAATTGCATCCCCAATTTAACCCAGCCACAAATGTGTCATTTGTCAAGTTCACTCTTATCGTTTCTCGAATCTCCTTTTAGAGTTTTAAACTTTTTGTTTTAGTTTTTACCGCACCTGAAATCTTCTTATCAGTTAAACGGAGTCGCCGCCAGTGCAGGATATGAAACAAAACAACTTACAATTTAATTGCTGGAGGTTTCCTTTGCCGGCGGAGAGTACAATTCCCTTCTCTCCCCTTTCAAATGCCAAATTTGATTGAGCCAGAAAGAGCAGCTCGTTACGTAATGAACTCCTTGCACAAGAGAAAATTACTTTGACAACAGATTCGCTCAATTAACCTTGTGTGTACGAAAAAATGTATTCACTCAAATAAATAAAGGTACACGGTACTTACAAACCTTCCGTAATGATTCTTTTATAAATACATTCCGTTGCGTGCTTTTTAGAAAATGCTAGATTGGTCGAATTGATATATTTTTACCTTTTACGACAAAATATTTAGCTATTAATTATATATAAATAATTAATTAGCAAAACAAAATTTGAAATCCGACATAAGAGGGTGTAATTATAGCTCACTAATAACTTGCATAATTCCTTTGGTATTACAAAAGTTCAGTGCTGTGTAAAATTTGCAAACAAAATCCACACCGAGTCTCGAAAAGACCTCGCTCGACGTACTGCACCGGATCAAGGCGATTTACATCCGTATAGAGGACAAGATGGGAATAACACAATCATCAAAATCATACGATCTCCCTTACATCCCAGATAATAAGCCACAACCCAGGTATGCAATCTCGACAACAATGTAAACAACATTACCTTTGAAACATATGTTTAGTTAACACTGGTTTCGATGATCAAGAACCAAAAAAGCGGGTGAAACAGATGGCACTCTTTGTGAAGCCTTTTTTGATTGTCGATGTTTTTACTTCAAGCGTCACTCAACATATGCTCCTCTCCGGCGGCAATGTTCAACTCGACTGAATTCTTTTGATTTTAGTTTAATTGGTTTATTGCATGAAATTATTTCGTTTAAGCCCCCAAAAAGTCGATATTCTGTTCTGCAGAGTTAACTGGATCGGAGCCGTTGCCACTGAGCTCATGCTGCCTGCAACTGATGCCAAATACATACACAAGTGTCGATCTTAACTAATCACGATGAGCTATTCTCACAATATGCGATTCAAAATAGGACTTTAAACTTTCGCCTATCAAAGTTCAGATTTGCGTGTAAGCGTTTTCCTTATAAAACTTCAAATATCATTAAAAGTCTTTCCTCTTTCAACTATGATTTATCAAAGGAGAGGATAGCATTTAAACAGTCACTCCTTGCATGCATTGGTTTATTTATAGAAAAGATTGCGGCAGATCATTTTATCATTTCAACGCGCCAGGAGCCCGTCTCCTGAAGGCAACTATGCGGAAAATTAGTTGCAAAAGTTATTCAATTCGTTCAATTTAATTTGCTTTTTTTCTTTCTTTCATCTTCTTCTCATTTGATTATACTACGCAGCAGAATTTTTGAATTTCTGAAATAGTAGTGCTGCTATTGTGAAGGGGGGGGGGGGGAATAGGGGTATGCAAATCCGCCGATCCGCTATGCTTTGATAAACAAATCCTTCAATCCGTTAAAAAAATTTGTTAAATACAAATCCCTTTGCTGCTTGTCACGTGGAAAGGTGAAAAACGCGCCTTGACCTTTTGTATCAGTCAAAGGTCATCCTTCAGATCACTTACCAAATATACTTTGTGAAAAACTGGACAATAACAGCGCCAAAGACCATGGCTTTCCAAAAGGTGGTTTGCAACCAATCTCCAGAGACACAGGTAACAATGGTGAAAGGAACAAATGCTGGTGGACGAACAAAAGGAACTAATGAGATATCTATTGTTTACGTCTACCAACATGGCGGCAATGACGTAATGTGCAAACCACCTATCGAGCCAATCTCAACCAGTACGATACAGTGTCACGGATAAGAGCGCTAACACATACATACATACATACATACATACATACATACATACATACATACTTTATTTGTCATGTAGGTCAGTACAAGAAGGCAGCTAAAAAGCTGATGTGAACCTACAAATTTAAATATATCTACAACAATTTAAATATTAATGTTAACAAACTTAAGAATTATTTACAATGAGAAGTCCCGCTTACAACATGTCACAGCGTCCTGCTGGCCATAGTGCGCTACTATTTCTTGATGCGTGACATACAGTGAGTCTCGTACGTGACAAAAAAAATACACCTACTTGGAAACAACACATTTCTGACGATCGTTCAGATCCACGGTCCGAACTTCCTCACAAGCAAAATCCAAAATCCGGACCCAAAAAATCGATGAAACCGCGAACCGCTGCAATTTCAGGATCCGCAAATCCGTTAAAATTTCGCTCTGAATCCGAAATCCGGGCAAAATCATTTTCAGAATCCGCCGACCCGTTGGCCTATCCACCCCACTCATTATATCTGGGACCTATAACCTCGCTGGAGGTTATGTTCAGAATAGGTATGCAATGAGTACAAAGGTTCAATCACAAGGCTTTTCCTGAGCCGTAGAGACCGAGATTAACTGGATTGTTTGTGTACAATCACAAAATGACTGAGACTGAATCATATCGCTTTGAATTCAAATTGCAGCAACGAAAACTCACCTGAGTTGACTGATCTACAGACTGAATTGATCCGTGGCTCATGGGAAAAGGTCAAAACGAACAAAAAGTACCATGGTGAACGGTTATTTCACAAGTGAGTCAATCACCTCCTCATAGTGAACATTATTCCTTTACACTCTAATATCAAAATGCATATTCTCCATATACGGCTGTTCTCCATCAATAATTTCCTAAGATGCTGATAAGAAGGATTTACTTTAGTTTGTGACATTTCCTTTATTCTGATGACCGTTGATGTGAGATTAAGAGATGATACTGTTAAAAGAAATTGAATGCCAGACACTCTTCGGGTTTAAATGGTTAAGTGAGGCGTAAAATAATGTTTTTCTAATCAGTGACTACGTTATTGATTCCCATAGTCGACCCAAGTACTTAAATAACAAAAGATCCCTAAGGGTGAAACCGTTAGAGGAAAACAAGTGTGTTTGAAACTGAAGCTGGCTTTTGATTCGTTGATACGTTGGCGAGGCGGTAAATAATCATTCTTTGAAGCCTCCTTCGGTGCAAGTGTAGTCTCCCTCGCGGCCTTTTCTTTGGATGTCACGCAACGGGGGAGCGTTGCGTGACATCCAAAAAAAAAAAAGGCTGTGAGGGAGACTAGTGCGAGTGAGGAATGAATTTAGTGATGGTAAGAAGACTAGACTGGTATTCGCGGGTGGGGCTGTCTTACTCAACAGCGAAGGGTGGGAGACGAAGAATATACGAGACGAAGGGTAAGAGCGCTAAGAGCTAAAGCAATCGTCGTGTGGAAAGTTCTATCTTAACCGTCCTCAAAAATTTAAAACTAACCCACATGCTGAAAAGTACTATTGATTCTTACTATTTGCAGGTTATTTGACGTGGCACCTCACTTGCAAGAGCTATTTCCGTTCGGCAGCGACTTAACAAATCCCATGTTTACTATGCACGCCTTGAACATCATGAACACGTTAGACCTAGCAGTACAAAACTTGGATAAACTGGATATACTTGTGCCTAAGCTAAGAGAACTTGGACAGATGCATGCAGCATTTGAGCTTACGGAAGTAGAATTTCAGGTAGAAGACCATTTATTTATCATTTTTCTTTACGGCACGCGAGAACACGATAAAAGCTCTACCCGTTACTTGCAGTCTCAACAATGAGAAGGTAGGAACGGTGCACTGGCCGATAAATATAGGTATGCAAAAGAGAAGAGGGGGGGGGGTAAGAAGGATGAAAGAGGGAGACGATAAAAGCTCCGCCCGTTACTTGCAGTTCCGCCCGTGGGAACGGTGCTCTGGCCTATGAATATGGGTGTGATGCAAAAGAGAACGGGGGAGGGGAGGGATGAGAAGGGGTAAAGAGGGAGACTCTCTCCTCCTCTTCATTGTCATCATTCCAACGTTGAGGTAGTGCTAGTCTCCCACCGCAATACGGCCACACATTAAAACTAAGAGACGACTGGGGACGAGTCAGGCTTTTCACCCTTTCGCTGTGAAAGGGAGTAGAGATCGAGCCGTAATTTATAAATAGTCCTAAGTTTACAGTTGCTTAGCACCACCCCAAACAAATAAAGAAAGCCAAACCCGTGGTAAAAGGTGCGGAAACAAATCCCCCTTTTCTCTTTGTTAAAAAAATGTTCATTTCAGAAGGAGAAGCAATTTCAAACGTTGTCAAATGATGAAAACTAAAAAAAAAAGATATTGGTACTCTCTGTTATCTCCTTCTACACCTCCCATTCTCAGTTTTGTTTCATGAAAAGTTTCCTCCCGGTGCTCTGAACATATTCCCTTACTAAGATGGTGTTGCTTTCTAAAGATTTCCTTTCCATTTTTTCTTCCCTTAAAATCTTTCTTCTTTCAGTATGTTGGTGAATCTCTCATATGGGTTCTGGAGACAGGCCTGGGAGATGACTTTACACCAAAGTTGAAGAGAGCCTGGTGTGATGCCTTTGCTATCATCTCTAGTGTTATGTTGGGTGCCATTAAAGATATTAATGGCTAGAGAGGGGCATCCACAACATCTATTCTATATAGTTCATCGTCTGTTTGCACAATAATTCTTAATAAAGACCTTTATTATTATTATTATTATTATTATTACAACCCATTTTAGATGATTCAATGACAAATACTCAGCCTGGGAGATAACTAACAGGATTATAAGATAAGTAGTTCCAAGTCTTTAGCAAAAACAATCAGTTACCAGACTTAACTCTTTTATGTGGACCTACAAACTCAATAAGACACCATCAACCCCTAAGCTTTGCCTAGGGGTTAGCCATAATTCAGTGTGTTTTTTCATACGAGGTTTCAGGAACCTGATTAAAAGACATGACTCAATCAAATTTTTTTAGTCTGTTTGTTAAAAAGAAATTGAAACAGGGCCTTGGTGTTTGGGTAAACTAATCACTGAACCAAAGAGAAAGTAAAAAGCAGTTGAATCTTTTGTGTAAGTTGAACTGCAAACAGGAAATCATATTTTAAGTACAGGTAAATGAAGAAAAATAATACAATGGCAGTTTTGATTTTTCCTTTATACAATAGTTTTAAGAAAACAACAGAAACAAATGATTACATATATCTTATTAANATATTCCACATCATTTTGTTTTTTAAAACAGTGTTCGTTTTTAATGCGTTATACTGTTATTCTTTTAATAACATGCTCTGTAACACTGAGCAAAAGGTGACAGAAAGGCTTCTTTAAGTTCATCTGAACAGCATAGTAAAGACATGCTATTTCAAAAATGGTGGACAAAATACAGGTATCAAAAACAACAATATACTGTTGCTCATGTGGGATAAAAGAACCATAACATTCCTATTTACAAGTAATTTACCACTGGTTAGTTAACAATAGTGTTAGAAAGACAGCATCTGAAAAAAAGATGGAAAATATTTTACAGATTGAAATAGTTTTACTTCTACTGAGTACATTTGTGGGGAATAAAGGAATTCAAAGCTGGTATCAATTTTTTTAGGTGTCATAATAAACAAAACTTCTCCAAGCTCAAATGCTATTTAGCTCATCTAAGACCAAAAGCTATAAGTATGTTAAGTAACAGCACCCAGCTCTTCTCTCCTTTACTAATAAGTATCACCTGCAACCACTGTCACCGTAAGTGCAAGTTGTACAAAGCTTAATTCATGGTTGCTATTTTTTCAACATATTAAGAAAGCTTTAAAATGGTATTCACAAGTCAGAATAGCCTTTGAAAAGTTCTGACCAAGAAAATGATACGTATAATGCAATCTGAATAATTTACAGAAACATTAAAAAAAAAAAGAAGTTGCCCTCTTACCTGTGATAAACAATAATTATTTCTGTAAAATGAACTGCTCTATAAATTCATTTTGTTCACCCTCAACCTTCTGTAAAGCTTCATGCTGGACACGGAAACTACCGTAATTGAAATATCAAACAAATCTTAATACATATTTTTTAAATAAAAGGCAGTCCATGACTGCATGTGCCTACTATTGTTTAGTTGTAAAGTACTGCAGTAAAAAAGCAATGTGGTATAAAATGCAGAGTGGTTTGTGAACAGCTCTCGTCAATACCTCAATTGTGATAAAAGAAAGACTTTGTCAGAACAGAGTTTGTACACCAGCAAATTGATAGGGCAGGGACAGGGCAGGAAATTGATAGAATAAGTTCATGAATTAAATGCATCAAATGTACTTTCTACAAAATTCTGCCCCTTCTAGTGCAATGAATAAACCTTCTCCTCTCAAGTCCAAAGGTATAAAGTTTGAGCCCTGAGGCCATGTCAACTTTTCTTGTCTTTCTTTTTTTCCTTTCCTTTAGTTTTCTTTTTCCTTTTTTTCCTTCCAGTTTACATTTTTCTTGATGTGCTCAAAGCAAAACCCACTTGTAAGGATCTAGCTTTTATAGTGAATGTTCAAATCGATAACAAGTTACGATGCAATTGCAGAGGTGAAACCTCTGATCGAACATTGAATTCAATCCAACAAAACCAAATTAATTGTAGTTTTCATTTCAGAAGTACAAAATCATCAGGATATGCTATAAAAATACTGTCTAAGAGTAGAGCAACACCAAATCACACAAGGTGGATTTAGTCTACTCGACTGATTGGGTGCTTGATTCTTACCGTTCCAGTTGTGTTTTCTTTTCAGCAATCAGTGCTCGGAGTTGTTGTTGCTGTGCTTCTCTCTGCTTTGCGATTGACTTTAAAAGATTTCTTGAGCCAATTGCCTATGGAAAATAATTGTGTGATAAAAAAGTTAATCCCCAGATTTAACTTCATGAGCATCTTAGTTTTGCTTTCAGTAATGCACATACACAAAAAAATTAATATCAAGCTCACTGTGAACTTAGAATAATGCTGTTTTGAACCTAAATAATTAGGTCTAATTATCATTCATTAGTAATTACAACAAATGACATGTCAACAAACAGTAAATATCAAATCCTCTCCACATGAAACTTATGGGTGTGCCTAATGAATCCATCAACTGCTAAATTTCCTTGCTTCATTTAATCAGACAGGGCCATAGCTAGCATGAGGCAAGACAAGGCAATTGCCTTGTCTTGATTTTGGCCTTTTTTTTTTTTTGCACCAGTATCGCTCGCCAATAAAAAAGTGAACTTCCACACTTGCACAAGATTGACTTTTCTAAAGAAAAGTGCCATGGAAAATGCTTGAAAGAACATTTCTGAGCCTCTAGATTTCAAAATTTTCTGGGGGAGGCATGCCATACGCCAAACTTGCCTCATCTACTTCTGAAGTCTGGCTACGGCCCTGTTAGAAATCTGGTAAGGTTATTAAATAACAAGTGGCAAAGTTAGGTAAAAAATAAGCTAGTAATTTTCAGCTACAATTGGCAAAAAAACTGTTGATGCATTGATCTTTTTATCCCCCTATTACAATAATTCTATTTCTTTTGCCCTCATTAAGTTAACCTATTTTCCCCCTTCCCCTCCCCACCCCCAAAACAATGTTTTATCACTATTCCATTAACTTTTAGCCAAAACTGAATGGGGGAGGGGGGTCTAGTAATTAGTTAGAGTATGGCAGAAACAGGACTGTTATTCATCACATGCAGTAAATAGGACTCTTAAAAAAACATGATTTGTCAACTAATTTTGATGCTGATCATAGGTGTAAGAAGCCTTATTATGAAAGTTTGTTCCTCATGACTGTGTAACCTAGCTCAAAGTTGAATCATCAATCTTTCTGCAAGGAAACTAAGTAAAAGTCTTGTTGGAGTAGGAAACCAAGGCATTTAACCTCTTACTTTACACAGGTCAAAATTGGTTCATTCTGATACCTGGCTAAAGGTTTTGGCCTAGCTAAACCCCGGGATTACAAATGACTTATTTTTATGTTTGGGTCTTGTAATGATAATTTTTATGTGCTTGGGCACCCAGAATCCTGGCACTGATGCCTCAGGGGGCAGGTGAATCTATTACCGAACAACTTTCGGGTTTGAGACAATGAGACAGTAGTATGTAATTTGAGGTATATCAACACCATGGACATATTCAGACAAGATATTTTCAGTTAGATGTAAAAAGGTTTTTAGTACCACACAAGTTTACCACATATCGACACTGTTAACCCCTGCTGAAAGTTTCTGGTTCTAAACGACACCTTGGTAAAGAGATAAAGGCTGATAGTTTCTAAAGAAACTGTTTGGGGCTGCATGGGTGGAGGTAACAAAATAATTTGGATATATCAACAAAGTTGAAATGGTGAATTGGCCCCCGTAATGATTACAAAAGCTGACGTTTCGAGCGTTAGCCCTTTGTCGAAGTGAATAGAGGAATTGTGGGTTGTATGTGCTTTTAAAGGCAGAAAATGGAGCTACGTTATTGGTGGGAACATGGCAACGAGAAAATCAGGAATAAATTAGTGGAATGAAAAGCATTTGTTGATCCCTGTGGGATTTAGACTGCTGGTTTGAAAGATGAGCTTTTGTTCAAGAGTTTTACGGCTTTCCGTGCTACCTAAGTGTCAGGAAAGACCGTAGATATGGCAACATATGGCAATTTGCCGTCTTTCCTTACACTTAGGTAGCACGGAAAGCTGTAAAACTCTTGAACAAAAGCTCATCTTTCAAACCGGCAGTCTAAATCCCACAGGGACCAACAAACGCTTTTCATTCCACTAATTTATTCGTGTTTTTCTCGTTGCCATGTTCCCACCAATAACGTAGCTCCATTTTCTGCCTTTAAAAGCACACACAACCCACAATTCCTCTATCCGCTCCGATGAAGGGCTAATGCTCAAAACGTCAGCTTTTGTAATCATTATGGTGGCCAATTTACCATTTCAACTTTGTTGATATATCCAAATTACTTGGTAAAGAGAGTCTAAGAACCTCTAGACCATATTCTGTTTGGTAGCATGTAAATGTTGAGGCCAAGTGAGGCAGTCTTCTTTCCACTTCCCCACCCCAAGGAATCACTCTTAGTCATACTGTTTTTCATTTTGAAGGCAAGATTTCCATATAACCCCATACTTCATTATGCATACAATTCTTGGATAAAAGAAAGCAGAGGCAAAACAACAGATTACCTTTGTGATTACAGCTTTGGGCAAGAGTTCAATATAACCCCACACATTAATTATGCATAGAGTGTTGCAAAGAAACCTTTATATTTAGTCTTGATGAAATGGAATGCATAAGTAATGTATGGGGTTATATAATATGGCACTCTTTCCCGGCTTTGTTCTTGATTGGAATGGGGTTATACGGAAATCTTTCCGAATAAACTTCTGTCAATACAGAAACTTTGTGCATATCATTTTCCTTGACCAAATTTAAACAAATTTAGTGCCCGAGTATAACTATTTGGCTGTCACCAAGGAGACTTGATCCATGTTTTGTACATGTAAACAATAACACATCGTGGAAGAGTATATCTTACCTTCATTTTCTCCTTCTCGACCTCTTTAGCTAGAGAATCGACCATATCAATAAATCCTCCCACTATTTTTTGAAACTCTCCAATTTCTAAATAAATAAAAAGATTAATTATCCATTAGAATAGCAGTGGTTACTACAAGCCACAAAAGCAATCAGTAAATTTAAGCAATCGCAAATTTGTTGCAAAACAATTCACTTTGCTCGATACAGCGCCCATCCTAAAGTGAGTAAACTTACTGTCAACAAATTCTTTACATTCTTCCTTGAGTTCTTGTGTCTGTTGACTTATTTCAGGCTCTAAAACCCGAACTTTGTTTAGTTCATCGAAGTGAAACCCAGCTGGACCGTCCGCCATGTTTCTTCAAACAATATCCCAGAATGCCACGCCAGCTGATGCGACTTTGCCGGGCCGAAACTGCCTCCTCCACCGAAGAGAGGCGATGGGGCCGAGTTTTTTCGTCTATATTCTTATTCATTGTTGAGAATATCTCCCCTAGTACCCAGTCCTATTGACACCCAACCCTTCCTCCCTCTCCGTTAATTTTTTTTCGGCGTGGAGAGGGGGCGACCTCACCCAAGTTGCGGCCAAACAGGTCTCCTATCCCCAGGCAACTTGCACGCAGTCGGCATATCGGGGATCAACAAAACTGATGTTTCACAAGACGTTAGGATGGATCTGGCCACGATTTTGCTCAATTATTCTTTACCCTTTCATTCAGTCTCAGTTGTTTAACATTTCATCCATGCATAATTTCGGCGGTAAATCTTGAGCGAAAAGGTTCTCTGTTTCTTTAATTGTTAACGTGGTGGAGGTTCAAGAGAGGTTCTCGGCAGTCCTTAGTTTACATTTATATTTATTCTACAAATAATATATTTTCTAGAGAGTTTTTCACCAACTCTTCTTGCAAGGCTGTAATGATACTAACCCAACCAATCAGGTGTCCTACCCAAACCACACAATCCGCACAGGAAAAACACGAAAGCTGGGAAATACCAAAGCTGTGACGATTGACTTTGATTCTTCCTTTAATTTCAATTCAAACATAACTTGCCTCTGCTTGTTTATGCAAAACTGCAGGGGTTTCAACTACTAGTTCCCATACCACACTCATTTTGTTAATACCAACACTAGCCGATACAAGTCCTGGGTCCAATTCATGTTTCATTTCATCTCGCTAATAGATTATATGTAACCCTGTACTATTGCAATCGCTCTAATTTCAGAGGCCGTTTAAAAACCAGGCATTCCCCTATTACGATTATGTACTTCGGTGAGTGGGGCTGTTCTTGATCTTTTTCAAGTAACAGATCTCTCACAATTTGGATTAAAGCAAGGTACAAATATTTGGGCAACAGAGACGGGGGTCTAACGTGAACCCTGTCAATCAAAATGAAAACGAAAGGATAGTTGATTGGGAAACTGGGTTGGAGGGTAGGGTATTTCGTTGGGTATGGTTAATCCCAGGTTCCCTGATGATTAATATGGTGGTAGATAAAGCAGCAAATGCTATGTTTTATATTTCATTTTTTCTCCCTTTTGAGCTCCTGCTTGGTTTCCTTAACGACTCCACAGTATGACGAACAAACACGCAAAAAACCTCTGCACAAAATTAAAGAATTGATTATAAGCTTTCCTCAAAATGAACACGCCATTCATCCATCTCATGTAACCACAACCGAACGTGTGTGTACACGTACGAGACAAGTATTCGAAAAAGTTTCTTCACAAACGGAGAAAATCCAACATGAACTAGCTGAATTAGTTGAGATAGCTGGAGTTCATGTTGAAAGTTACGAATTCTGGTGTAAATGCCGGACAGTGCAGTAAAAAAATCAAGTTACTGCAGCAAGTTACTGCAGTTGAAGACTTCATAAAAGGTGTTTGGCTTCTAAACTCATCGGTTTTTGTCTTGTTTTCTTGACGAATCGTCGTCATTTTCCGGAATAACTCGTGGCCCGACGGCTCTACGAGTTGCGCTGAGTAGTTCGGCATCGGGAAAGTTTCCATTTCCTCTGTGCTCGTACAGAAGAACGTTCAGAGACTCCTCGTAAATTCTTGAGTCCGGAAATTCGACTTTTGTCTGCGGTTTCTCTGTGGCATAGACAATTGATGTGCAGCACACCTCAGCAAGCTTTTTTCCGTTTCCATAGAATGTCCAACAGCAGATTTCGTTGTTGCCGATCAAGTCCTTGATAAACAGAATTCTTCCATTGAATCGAAGCGACAGCTTGTCGAAGAGTTCAATATTTTTCAGCAAGTTATCATCTGACTGACTGTTGATGACCAAAAAAACAAAAATAAAAACAAGAGATGCCATTATTTCCGTTTCCCTCGGGATACGTTAAGTCATTAATAAACAGGGATTTGCGAGACAAACAAAGCGGGGGAACGTTTAGCCTCTCGCATTCTCTAATCAAGGTAAAAACTATGGGACAAACCAAGCTGCTGGAAAAGTATGTTTCCTATTAAAAAAGCAAGTATAAATTCATACAAGTAATATGGTGGGCTGCCTGCAAAATAAGACAAACAACAATTTACTTTGACCTTCGTCTAAGGCGGCATGGCACTTTGTTTTGTTTTTGTTTTGTTTTTCAAACATTCACCATTCCAAAAAAAGAAAGATGGCAAATAAAGTTACCTAAAGGTACAACCCTCAGGTATGCAGTAGAGATTTTCTATGAAAAACTACCAGGTAAGAATCTTTTTATTGCTATTGGGAGTGACAAGTTTTAAAAACTTACCCAGTGTATGAATATTTGTTATTTGATCTGTTATACGACAGTTTCACCACAGGCTGTAGAGAAAGGGATAAAAATAAACATTTCTTTCAAATTTTTCAGTTCTTATTTTAACCTACAAACTGTGATGATCCTTGTTGAGAATGTCCTGTTTGGTCACATTTTCACTCCAACAAGACTCTTTGGTGTAATGAGATTTAAAAGCCTGTCAAATTTCACAATTTGATGAAATAAATAATATATTTTACCCAAGGATGATAACATGCAATGACATTATCCCACTGGTGAGCTGTTATGAATCCTTTACACCAGAACATCAGAATGCATATTTACTATACTGTTCTCGATACATTATCCCACTGGTGAGCTGTTATGAATCCTTTACACCAGAACATCAGAATGCATATTTACTATACTGTTCTCGATACATTATCCCACTGGTGAGCTGTTATGAATCCTTTACACCAGAACATCAGAATGCATATTTACTATACTGTTCTCGATACATTATCCCACTGGTGAGCTGTTATGAATCCTTTACACCAGAACATCAGAATGCATATTTACTATACTGTTCTCGATACATTATCCCACTGGTGAGCTGTTATGAATCCTTTACACCAGAACATCAGAATGCATATTTACTATACTGTTCTCGATACATTATCCCACTGGTGAGCTGTTATGAATCCTTTACACCAGAACATCAGAATGCATATTTACTATACTGTTCTCGATACATTATCCCACTGGTGAGCTGTTATGAATCCTTTACACCAGAACATCAGAATGCATATTTACTATACTGTTCTCGATACATTATCCCACTGGTGAGCTGTTATGAATCCTTTACACCAGAACATCAGAATGCATATTTACTATACTGTTCTCGATACATTATCCCACTGGTGAGCTGTTATGAATCCTTTACACCAGAACATCAGAATGCATATTTACTATACTGTTCTCGATACATTATCCCACTGGTGAGCTGTTATGAATCCTTTACACCAGAACATCAGAATGCATATTTACTATACTGTTCTCGATACATTATCCCACTGGTGAGCTGTTATGAATCCTTTACACCAGAACATCAGAATNAATGTTGGTCACTCTTAACCCTTTCACTCCCAAGGTCACCTTTCATTATTCTCCTCACTGTCGACCATTCAACTATTCTTATGAAGATAGTTTGAAGAATTTTGTATCGAGATCAACTAATAAATCCTGTGATTGATATACTTCTTTATTCTCATCCCTTGTCTGCTTGGTATTATATTATTATTGATATATTTCTTTATTATCATCCCTTGTCTGCTTGGTATTATATTATTGTTGATATATTTCTTTATTATCATCCCTTGTCTGCTTGGTATTATATTATTATTGATATATTTCTTTATTATCATCCCTTGTCTGCTTGGTATTATATTACTATTGTAGGGAGATGTTCTTTCTTGGTCACGGATGGGAGTTAAAGGGATAAGGATCACTGGGTTGAATACCAACTGAAGACAATAAAACTTTAACAGACCTTTTTACCAGTGACAAGTTGCCTTTCCTCTTTGGATGAGGTTATGAGTGGAACACGGCAGATAGGGTCATGTTCTTCTTTTTTCTTTTCAAGTGCTTTTTCACACTGTTCAATGAGCTGCTCAATCAAGTAATACTTGGCTTCAATCAAGATTTCTTGCAACTCTACTTCATTTTGTGGTAATGGTACAGTTCCATCGCGCATGAAGTTTAAAATGAGGGAAAAATGTTTTCCACAGCGATCGATAAGAATCCAACCTAAACAATAACATAACAATCATCTCAAACAAGTCTTGCCAGTTATCAACAAGATTAGGAGACTTCCATCAAAAGCAGGTATTGCCTCATTTTTTTTACTCCAAGAATACAAGGGAACTTTGAGAACCTGTTGAGACTAATTTCCTTACAAAACATCATTGTTACACATATAAACATTTCGTCCAAAGCAACTTCCATCAAACGAATGAAAATGCTCAAGTCCAACCAAGTTTCAAATGAAAGAATCTTGGTTTGTCATTACCATTTACCAATTGCAAGGAGGGTCAATTTTTCACCTACTTACAAGATTTTTTTAAGGCAAAACTCTTCTATCTCAATCACCATATAGGTAAATAGATGTAGAAGGAGAGACTAAAAAGGGGTGAGAAGATTGCCTGAATCTGCATTACTTTTAAGCCCCATCTTTCCTTATTTAGTTTCATAGTATATTTCCTTGAATATTTTCTAGAAAAGGAGCTATCCAAATAATAAAAGTTAGTGTTATTGTTAGACTTATTGTATATGGGTTTACATTGTATGTTTTCATTTTGAAATCCCCAATTCCTAAGCCAAATCCACTGCTTGAAAGTAGTCAATGAAGTTATGAGGGGTTTGAATACACCACTTGCTAAACAAAACCTCTCTGTTAACTTTGTACCCTGGCATTTCTGTAATCATATTACCCATGGGCTTATTCAGAAATATAGGTATTTCCGACTATACTACCACCACCTTTTAGTCATCCTATGTGTGGAGTTTCATGCACTCTCCTCCAAATGTCCCTCCAAATTTCAGTTTTTCTTATTCCAATGTTTTGCTTCTACTCTCCTCATATTTTCAGCAATGTGAGCAAATGAGACACTACTATTTTTGAGCAAGAGATATTTCTAGATGTATTCATTTGTATAAATGGTGTCTCTTTTGTGACAAATAACACAAAACCAAATCAAACTCTTTGGAATAAATTCAATCCCACCGAATGCATGCATTCTGCCTCGATAAACATGGACGCAATATTCATAACCTTTTCAGTGGGAAATCCCATAGAAACTAAAGGAATAAAAGGGCAGAATGTGAGATTCTCTTTTAAAATACATTATTTAGGAATATATTCATAGGTCTACAGTGAGAATGTACGAATGCTGACAGTATTATGTATCAATCATTAATTCTCCGACGCAGCCAAAATTATGTCAGTGTCATTGTGCTTCGCATGCAAATAATTGTTTAATAAAGCTTGGTTTATCTTTGGCAGCGAGACTGAAAACTATGGCTGACAGCTATTTGTATCCTACATCCTAATATCTTAGAACACAGCATACCTTCAGTATCTGTCAAAACCTCCAGTCTACCACTAAACATGGCTCTCAACATGCTATCTTGCTTGGTGAGTGTTCCGATGGTGGTGTAATGGAGAGATCCTCCCACATTCAACTTAACGTATTTTGTCGGCGATCCATGTACGGTCATATGATGGGTTGCCTCTCCAGACATTCTCCTTCAACAAGTGAGCCTCTCAAAGGTTTCCCAATGAAGTGTGACAGACCTTCGCACAAAATATGCAGTTGTCCAGTTGTCTTGGTTAAATACCAGCTTCCCGAAATAAATGTTACTGGCTCATGTTCAGCGGGTGTTACGGCAATCGTATATGCCCATGTGAAGTGCCACTCTTTTCGACGTTTCAAAAATAATATACAGTGGTAAAATAATAAAATGATGATGATAATAATAATAATAATAATAATAATAATAATGAAAACAGGCAAATTCTACCTACGATGCCCTGTCCATACACTTTTAAATTGAAATGATTGAGGTAGCTGGAGTGATTCAAATGGAAACCTCAAGGTTTTCCACAAACATGCTTAGATGGAACACTTTCCTAAGCAACTGTTTTAAGGCAGAAATAAAAAAAAAAAGGCTCCCACGTCCTGTTCTAATAATTTTTCAAAAACAAAATAAATAAAACATATAATTGAGTAAACGAAGGCTTGGGCCTCGTCAAACAAATTCCTCTTGATGTTGACAAGCTTGAACCTGTTTCCCCACTTCCTTTTTTTCCCTCAGCACTCACGATGTTTCTTACCAACTCTGCCAGCCAACATGTAAAAAGTGCCTTTATGAAGAAATGTTAGCCGATGTAGTTGACTCTCTCCATTTTATATGTGTTTCTCCTCCGTCTATTTTTGTTTGGGTTTCCCATTGTTGTTATTCATTTATTTATTTATTTTTTTTTTTTTCAGTCTTTTGAGCGGAGTTACGACCAGCTTTTTTCACCCTGTCCCCTAGGAAAAAAAACTGATTCTATGCAAAAAGAAACTGCTTTCCTGCAAGTCTTTAATGGTTCGTCTGTATTGCATTAAGAAGGAAAGTTGGGCAAAGAAAATGCACTCAACTCCCCACTCGTATACCATAGTGCGATGAATTAAACACCTCTTGATAGGAAAAACATTGAAATACAATTTTATTGTTCCAGGTTATTGATATTCAGTCACTCGCCAAATTTTTTTACGCATTATGATAACACTTCATAAGTCACGTATCTTATAACTTCCTGTCTTAAAGAAAGTCGGGTGACGCTCTCTACAGGTTGATGAAAATCTCTTCTTTCGTTGTTGGGCTGTCATGTAACACGTGTTCTTCGCGTGTTACGTCAATCTGATTGGCTAACGCAGTTGAGACCGTGCTCTCGCAGGGCTTGAAGATAGTAAATAGAGACTTCTCAAGAATACTGCAGCCGAGACAAACGAAAATGGAGAAGCCGAAATAGGTCAAGGTCATTCTATACTGGCTTAATCGTGGTTTTCCACATCCTTCCAGGATTTTGCAGTACTTCAGCCATACGGATCAATTTCGGTGCGAGAGAAAAATGGATGGATGACGAATCTTTTTACCAACAAGCCATCCAAGGACTTTACTGTCTCGATTTGTCGGTGTTTACAACACGTCCATATTGCACCTCGTTATTAAGGTTGTTTTGAATTTCCTTGATAGCCAACTTTTCCCCTTATCATGAGTCGGCTATTCACGAATCTTTCCTTCGAATCATGGCTGAAGACGAACTGCCGGTGGATTTGCCGGAGCAGCGAAACGCAGATAAGATGCAATGCTTCGGTTTTTGGCTCCCAAACACAAGCTTGGTCTTACGTGAAACAACAGACTTTGGATGAAACGTCTGCGAAGGTTTGTTTGAATTATACACTAGTTGTGATGAAACTTTCATTGAAGCTGACCTGAACCGGCGTTTTTAATTGAATTTGACTTAAAGAGATGAATGATCATCCACCAATCTGCCGTCATCACGATAGACGATCTAAAGCTTTTAAAAAAATAATAATGAAAACTTTTTTTTAAAATATCGTTTGGTTTCGTGGACGGAAGGTTAATTCGATTTCTAATTTTTTTTTTTTCAGCCATCGATTCGCCTGACCCCATTCCAAATGCTCTGGGCCGGAAGATTCAAAGATGGAACCCACTTACTGGTAAGATAATAGTTATTTCTCTCGATAAGAAATGTACATTGTACTTTTAACTGTGGCTCAAATTATTTGCTTCCTTGTGTGTTTGGCTTGTTTCAAATCTATGCCTTTTCTTGAATGGACTGTTAAAATTTTTGAAGGTATATACAGTTAAGTTAAATAAATTCTTTTAGTTATTCTCCATGAGGACATTTCCATTTTTGTCGCTTCTGTCTCATCCATTGTTATTTTATTGCCGCTCAGAAATAAATTGTGATGCACTATAAATAACACCACCCTTTGTTTGATAGTTTGGCACTCAGTGGGCTACACTGCAACAAGAGCAACACAACACGCATTTAAACTAGCATTACCCTAGACAGCAGGATCTTTAGTTTTAAGTACTTTCTTAAAAAAGATAAAACATCTTTCCTTCCGTTCGTGGGAAGTGGAGATTTAAAGATAGTTATGCTCCTAACTCTAGCGAATTCACCTAAGCATGAAAACATGTTGTAACAGGCAGTCAAACAAAGTGTGATTACCGTCAAACAGAAAAGTCTGGAATAAAAGCTGTGAACAGTTTTCCACAGAAGGAATGACAAGTGCAAACCTGTACCACCAAATCATCCTTTAAGTCAGATAAAGCAGTTTTAAAATTTTTGAAACTTTGGGTTATTTTTCTCAACAAGAAGAATACTGCCGTCATCTTTTTTACTTATCGTTCGTTACATTTCTGCATATTTGAGAAAAAGCATGCAAATTATTTTCAGGGCAAGTTTGTTCTGGTAATCTTGAATAATTGCAGACAGTGGTTTTTGCTGTTGTCACAATCTTTCTAATAATTATTTTGACCCTTCCTAATTCAATCATTTTGAATTGAGCAAAAGTCATTTTAAGTTTACTTAAGAGTGAACCAAAGTTACAAAATATATTCTACTTTTGAAGATCAGGGGGTTCAGCAGACTTGTAAACATTCAAAGGGTGATTTTTATAGCATTAATATTGCATCACAGCCAATGAAGTAGTTGCTTATCATAAAACAATTCATTGAGCATAAAGTTATTGCTGGTAGAGTAAAGCTATTTTTTTATAGTTGTACCCTTTTTGATATGGTGGCTTTAAATGTTAAGATTTTTTATATACAGATAAAACTTGTTTATCACTTTAATTTTTAACTTCAAAATAACTCATGCAGAACAATGTGAAGTTCCAAGCTACAGTAAGGCTGATGAATCCATAGAAATATGCATCTATCTGTAGTGGAACTTGTTCAAGAAGATTCTTTTTAGTGTAATGACTCATGTTATTAGAGCTTATTAAATTTCTGCACTTTCTAGACAGAATACTTAATTTGGTGTGCTAGCCAAAACTCTGCACATTTTTCAGTTTTATCCTGAAAATGTATTGGTTATTTTTTAAATTCAGTTTGCTGCTATGAAAGCTATTACTTTGTCCTTCTGTTTTGAAATATGTAGTGGAAAGCAATTTTGGAATAACCACATATTTTCTATGGAAAGTGGACAATGTTTAATGCTTGAATCCTTAATAGCATCAAGAGCTCCCTTGAAAGTAGAGATGGGGTTTGCTTATGTTAAAGGACAGTGAAAGTTAGTTGTTTTAATTTCGTTCATAGGACAGTAGAAGTTACTAGTTGTTTTAATTCTGTTCATGGTAACCTCTGTTGATGAGTTTGTTTTCATACTGAGCACCTGTATATTAAGGATTAACAGCGGTCATATAATTAAACCTATCTGATGCTTTTGAATCAGACTTTGTATTTCATATAATTTTTTTCTCAGAAAAGTGCCCAGTTTCTTCAAAAAGAATTACCTATTCGTGTTGCTCGTCGTGTTGTTGACTTTCAAAAACTGCCTCACATTGCTCTGTGCAATCCAGTCATTCATGATATGGTAGGTCAACTTTGTACTTTGCTCTCATCACTTATTTATCTTATATAAATTAGGAATAACAACAAAGTTAAAATCCAGTGGATTAGGAGAGAACTAGGTTTTCAGCTGTGATGGGAATTCAACTTGAGTTTGAAGAGTTTTACACAGCTTTGCAAGGAGGATGACTGTATACTGGGTACATGCACCAAGATCAGACTAAAGAAAAGCAATGTGTGCTTGTTTTGCATTATGTTATAAATTATGTAGTCCAGTTTTAGGGTTTTATAGTTTCTTTTTTTTTTTCCAGTTCATTCCTTGAGATGAGTTCTGCTTATAATACACCCATTAGTTTTCTTTGTAACCTGAGAAATATTTCATGTTGCAGTATGAGCTATATCTTAGAGCTTTTAGTATGCTGTGCAAATTTCCAAAGGTATGTAATGTATGATTCTTACAAAGGACTAGTCCATGAAACATGTCAGTAAAGCTGCAAGGCATCAGTAGAGAAAGTACACTTTTCCTGAGGCACTCCTAGTTAGCTTATGGAGACTTTGGTTATCAGACTAACCTTTTGTTCCTGAACATCATTATGTGTATTCTCTACTCTTAATGACTGGGAGAACTTGTGAAACAATCAAGAATGTCTGTTCTTAATATTTTCTTTAATCCTCATGACCTTAAGGTATAATTCAGATACAAAGCTGTAAGCAGGGCTCGACACTAACTTTTCAACTTACTAGCCAAGTGGCTAGTGACATCTGAGATGTTTTTAGATTTTATGACAATTTCAGTCTGTTAACTAGCCAAACTGGCAAGTGGAAATTGAAAACCACTAGCCAAAACTGAATTTCTACTAGTCCTTGGCTTAAGTGGGCTACCGTTATTGTCAAGCCCTGGTAAGGAAGAAATTAACTTCTAGTCACTCATAGAGGTTAAAGGATAAGGGGTTCGTGCCCTGAAATACTTGTTGCCTCGTATAGATGTATCACTTGCTTCAACTTTGGTACAGAGAGTTTGGCTATTACTTAATTTCATAGGTGGAAAATCTTGAAGCAGAGGAAAGATATTGTCGCACTATCAGACAACTCTTGGATGATCATCAAAGTGTTGTCACCCACCTAGCAGAGGGATTCCATGAATGCCAGAAAAATGTCCCAGTAAGTCAGAATTTTTTCAAACAATTGATTTAACTTTCATCATTGTCCTTTTAGGGACATGATCTAGATAGAAACTCATCATCAAACATTTTTCATGTTTGCAGTATGAAATAATAGATGCCTTTCTGAATCGTACCCTGACATCCAGGCTTGGAATCCGCATGCTAGCAGAACACCATCTTGCTCTTAGCGTGGACAAGGTGAGGCATTTTAGTTTTCGCTGTAAGGATAAGAAGCATGTGATAATACAAAATCATGTGGTGGTGCACTGTCCATCATGTTGCAAGTGTCACAATGTTTTTTGGGCTTCTTTTGTTTTTTTGTCTTTGTTTTGTTGTGTTCCTTGAAGACCGTATCGTGCCACGATGACAATTTTTATTCATTTAGTGAACAGTAAAAAGGTGGAAAATTTGATTTCTCATAAATGAAAGCTCAAATCTTTTTTATTTAATCAATTACAATTTATTTTAAGTCATGCTATTTTTCTTTCACTGAGATTAAGTAGCTCCTCTCTAATGGAATATTACTATTTTTTATATTAAATTTACTTGTATTTATATTTTGATATCTACTGGAATTATTTTCATTCTAAATTGTTGAAATTGCTGAAAATGAGAGAAACCTACTTCCATTCAGCAGTAAAACTACATAATTAAGTGATACAGTAGTCTGGGTTTGGATTGTGGTGATAAAATGAGAATGGTAGCTTCAAGTGTTCTCTCTACTTGCTTCACCATGATATTTGAAATTTTTATGTGTTTCTCTTATTTTCCTTGTGCTGTCTAGTGACTAGGGGTAAAATTTCTCTCTTTCTGGAAGTGGAATAAAAATTAATGTCATTTTGATATAATATGTGGAATGTTTGATTTGAACTGCCACAGCCAAACTACATTGGAATTATTTGTACTCACCTAAACCTCAAACAGATTGTTGAGAGAAGTGGTGACTTTGCCAGGTAAAATTTATTTTGTGCAGTCAGGTGTGATTATGTCAGTGGTAATATTCACGGCCTTAGCATTTTACTTGGGAAACAAGATGTTGACNATTTTCCTTGTGCTGTCCAGTGACTAGGGGTAAAATTTTTATGTGTTTCTCTTATTTTCCTTGTGCTGTCCAGTGACTAGGGGTAAAATTTTTATGTGTTTCTCTTATTTTCCTTGTGCTGTCCAGTGACTAGGGGTAAAATTTTTATGTGTTTCTCTTATTTTCCTTGTGCTGTCCAGTGACTAGGGGTAAAATTTTTATGTGTTTCTCTTATTTTCCTTGTGCTGTCCAGTGACTAGGGGTAAAATTTTTATGTGTTTCTCTTATTTTCCTTGTGCTGTCCAGTGACTAGGGGTAAAATTTTTATGTGTTTCTCTTATTTTCCTTGTGCTGTCCAGTGACTAGGGGTAAAATTTTTATGTGTTTCTCTTATTTTCCTTGTGCTGTCCAGTGACTAGGGGTAAAATTTTTATGTGTTTCTCTTATTTTCCTTGTGCTGTCCAGTGACTAGGGGTAAAATTTTTATGTGTTTCTCTTATTTTCCTTGTGCTGTCCAGTGACTAGGGGTAAAATTTTTATGTGTTTCTCTTATTTTCCTTGTGCTGTCCAGTGACTAGGGGTAAAATTTTTATGTGTTTCTCTTATTTTCCTTGTGCTGTCCAGTGACTAGGGGTAAAATTTTTATGTGTTTCTCTTATTTTCCTTGTGCTGTCCAGTGACTAGGGGTAAAATTTTTATGTGTTTCTCTTATTTTCCTTGTGCTGTCCAGTGACTAGGGGTAAAATTTTTATGTGTTTCTCTTATTTTCCTTGTGCTGTCCAGTGACTAGGGGTAAAATTTTTATGTGTTTCTCTTATTTTCCTTGTGCTGTCCAGTGACTAGGGGTAAAATTTTTATGTGTTTCTCTTATTTTCCTTGTGCTGTCCAGTGACTAGGGGTAAAATTTTTATGTGTTTCTCTTAGTTTCCTTGTGCTGTCTAGTGACTAGGGGTAAAATTTCTCTCTTTCTGGAAGTGGAATAAAAATTAATGTCATTTTGATATAATATGTGGAATGTTTGATTTGAACTGCCACAGCCAAACTACATTGGAATTATTTGTACTCACCTAAACCTCAAACAGATTGTTGAGAGAAGTGGTGACTTTGCCAGGTAAAATTTATTTTGTGCAGTCAGGTGTGATTATGTCAGTGGTAATATTCACGGCCTTAGCATTTTACTTGGGAAACAAGATGTTGACACAATTAGAGATTTTTTTTTTTCTGCTGTCTTGGGGCTGGGACAAAGAAAACATCAGAGCTACGACCCTGTACTTTCTTGTCAGTAGTCACTTGGGACAGGGTTGCACATACTTAATGTGTTACTTTGCAGAGTTTTCAACTTAAGATATAGATATGTATATGTATCCAGTTACTTTAAACCTTATTATAACACAACCAAAGTAAAGTGTACGCTCTGATTGGTCAATTCAGCTTCCACCATTTGCCCATGGGTATACGCTGCTGACGTGAACAAATGCAAAGAGTAGTTTTGCACGTGCACTTGTTTTTTCTGGCCACATAAGATTTGTTAAATAAAAGAAAACTCTTTTCCTACAATGTAGCAATGTTATGTTATAAAACAAATGGTAAAATTGCCACAGTGTACATCATTGAGTTATGGATGCACTGGGGAGGTTTGCTAAGCACTCAAGAAGCTATAGTCGCTCTTGGCTATCTCCTTGTGCAACTCTTACACTTCTTTCATGCTTAGCAACCTCCTGCATGCATCCACAACTCAATAGTGTAGGCTGTGGTGTTTATCATTTGTTAACAAGAACTCCTGTGGGTATTCATCTGCAAATATGAGCAATGTCAAAGGCACCAAATCAAGCTAAAGAAGAAAGTGAGATGGATGATTTTTCTCCACTTTATAGGCAAGTGTGTGAACATACTTATGGTGTGGCTCCAGGACTTATTGTCAATGGCCACACACAAGCTGTCTTTCCTTATGTTCCTGCACCTCTTGAGTACATTCTTCAGGAACTCTTGAAAAATGCCATGAGGTAAGTAAGTTTCCATTGACCAAGGTATCATTTCCAACATGAAATTTTATAATCTACATCCATTGTATATTTGTTTGCCCCAAATCTCTAAGAAAAAGGTACCTATTTAGAATCTGAAAGTTAATTCTATGTTTTTATCTGGGTTTTTTTGCTATGTACTGCTTTGATAAGCACTTTTAAGTATTCTTGTAATAGTAATAGTAACAGCATGGTTGCTTTACATGTAGTTGTAACTCTTAAGATTAAACTAGAGATTAACCAGTGTACTGTTGATCTAATATCCATCCAACTTGAAACATATTGTCCTACTTCAGAAAAAGGTGGTACGAATTATATCAAGAAGTACTTTTAATGCTCATACTGAACTTATATTCAAGCAGTTGAAAATTCTTAATCTACACTGACAATACATATTGATTTCAAATAGGAATGATTATGTTTTTGTTCAAGATAGGCCGTCTTACTGATTTTCTTAAAAGATTATTTTCGTTGTTGAGTGGCAATCATTGCTATTATACCAAACAATACAATTCTTTATACATACCCCCTTGCAGAACAAATATCAAACAGTTTTTGTTATGTTTTCAAGGACCTAAATTTTTCAATCCTCTGAATATAGAAATCCGAAATGTTGACACACTTTCCCTGTGTAAGTCTAAATTGCGAACATCACTCCCACGTTAAATCCCTCTTATTTATTTTTATTTTTCTCAAGCTGCTTAAGTATATGTTTGTTTGAGTCCTGCTATTGTTATCATTGTTTTATATGTGTGTGTTCTTTCCTTTTTAACTTAAATATTTTGTACCTAAATCACCAAAAAAGTGACTGCTCACTTTTGTAAAATATGAGGAGGCTTTAGCTCACTAAGCATGCTAAATCTTCAGTTATATAATATTAATGTATATGTAATTCCTTTTACTTCTACCAATGTACCATGAGTTACAAAATGGCAAATAAACAAACAAATAAACAACTGCTACACAAAAGCTAACTAAATGGGAGAATTTCAAAGTCTGCTAACTTATTCCAGGGCCAGTGTGGAATTTCACCTCGACAGACCCAATGAAGTGCCCAACGTTGTAGTCACACTGTGCAGCAATGATACTGAATTCTTTGTCAGGTAACAACAGCTTGTTCAACATCTACCTTCATAGCTGATCAGATTGTACCTTGCTTTAAAGTTTTCAACCCACTTTGAATTTAATTTTTCTTGGTTGAGCATTCATTATTTGAGACAAAGGAAAAAATGTGCATACCGGGCTAATACTTTTGAACCTGGGAAAAATATAGAAAAGAACAGTTGACTAGAATAGCAATCATATCAAACGTCAATCAAGTTCTTAGTTTTTGTGAATCATTAATCATTGTGTAGTGTTGAATACCTTGGAGCCATGGTGAAATTAGACAACTATGTCCTGAAGCTAAAAGATCCTTCAGGACAAAAATAAAATTGTCTTTCTTTGCAGGATTTCTGATCGCGGAGGTGGCATCTCTGAGTCCCAGCTCCAGGATATCTTCAAGTATTCATTTACCACCATGGGTGACCGTAGCACCATAAGGCCCACAGACAACGACAATATCTTCTCAGAAATGTGTGCAGGACACCCCAGCAGTTCACCAAGTGGGGGTCCCATGGCAGGATGGGGCTTTGGTCTTCCTACATCTCGTGCTTATGCTACATATCTTGGAGGATCACTTCACCTGCTGTCCATGGAGGGCCTTGGTACAGATGTGTATTTGCGGCTAAGGCACATTGATGGAAAGAAGGAGAGCTTTCGCATTTAATCTGGGAGCACTTCAGCTCCCAGTGAGCATGTTTTGGCCCTAAGGAGTCTGCTCTGCTTGTCACCAAGAGAACTGATTCTCTAAGACAATAGTCGTTTTTAAAATATTGCACGTTAGGGAAATATCTATTTGTCAAAAGGAATTAATGAAAAGAGTTGATCAAAACTGAAAAATCATTGACCAACAAAATACCCTATGTAGTCAGCCAATTAATCTAAATAAATCCCAGTTAGTTACAAATGAAGTCGAACTTTCTGGGCTCTACCAACAGATTGCAGATGTTTTACTTCATTTCTATTATTCACACGGAGTTGTCCCGTAAGCATTGAAGGTCCCAACAATATCCACTGGTTTATCACTGCATGGTCTTAACTCACACTTGATATATAGGATGAACGTGGAGGCTTTTCAGTTAACCATGCACCTCATTTGGCCATTGTTATAAGTAACTATCTTTCACTGATTGCTCCGATCTGGTAGTCAATAAGTACCTAGAGGATCCTATTGAGACCGCGTATCATGTCCCACAATGAACAGTTTTATTAGATCTAAATTACACTTTACAAATATATCGCAATGATTATTTAGGTATTATTATCATTAACATTATTAAAAAGAATATCAGATTTGTAATGTTCGTCTCATATTGAAATAGCTATTTTAAACGCCATGAGTTTGAAATTGAGTCATATTTTATGTTTTGTGACTTTTTAATCAGATTAAATTATAATTATTATTTAATTCTAAGAGTCCGTGGAATTTGAAGCAAAGCCATGGTGAGACATAAGTCGCTGATTACTTTTAAGGCAAAGGGCATTTATTATCTTTTATTACACGACTCGGGCAGTCAGAGGGCCAATAACTAAAATCAACCAATCAAAATGCTCTATTGCCGGTCCAATATTCTCTAAGTATTGGACCGGGCACTGTCCCGAATGGTCCCGAATGATACCACACTTGTGTCTCCTTGAACTTCGGTCGTATAATAAATCTCTTATTAACCAAGCTTGCTCGGGACCGTACTGGAAGAATATCGGCCCTCGGTCTTTTTCGTACGGACCTTGCTGCGCTCGGTCCGTACTGTCAAGACCTCGGGCAGATATTCTCCCAGTACGGCCCTCGGGCTTGGTTAATAAGATATATTTATTGTAATAATGAAATAAATAAGCGCAAAATTTATTAAAATATTATTGTGGAACCGACGTTTTCTTTAACTTTTTAGGTATCATATGTCAAAAGAGGGATCATTTTGTTTTATGCTACTAGCGCTGTTTCCTTTCGTTTCCCAAACCTTAAATGTTCAGTGGGCGATCTCACAAACAAATTCATGATATTTTTCTATAATTCACACTTTTCTTCATTCCATATCTCGAGTTCGTTTCGTTGGTTCATTTTAGAACCCTCCATTGTTCCTTTTGAGTAACCACAGTGTCTTCTTCAATTTCAAAGACCCATGACACCTATTTCCTTACATAAAGCAACAATTTTAGTTCAACCCATTAGTATCTCAGGTGAAACATCCATTATGGGGCTTGCAAGACCACGGCCGAGAGGATGCTGTAAAGAGGGCAATTGAAAAGAGTGAGGTACCGTAGAAAAGAAAAGGAATATTATAAAGGGCCAACACATGCGACAGCTTTAGAATTCACCGTTGTATATTTGCTGACCACCTTCTCACGTTTCTGAGACCAAATTTACCCGCGACGTCAGGACGTAACGCTTTTCCACTGTATACTCGCACGTTCCCGTGTCTAAGTGCCTGTTAGGAAGGTTAAGAAAAAGTCAAGGAGATGAGTGATTTCCTTAAGACCCGTCTAAACAAAACAAGGCGAGTCGATTGTAATGAAGAACATGAGGTGACAGGGAATCACGTCATCAAATGCATGGGTGTGTCTGTTTGAGAGCTTCTTCACGAGGTGTTGATCTCAAACTAAACGGACCCCTTATTTCATGCCATACTTGTATTGCAAGACTGCTACTGTTCACAAATGCATGGCTTCATATCACGCAAGTGTATGCTGCAAAACCACTACTGTCTATATAAAATTGTCCCAGCGTAAGTTTTTAAAACATTAGGCGCACAAATTTTGCTTTGTGAACGCCAAACATTTACAGAGCCTTTCTCAAGGTCAACTAAGATTGAATCCGGCAGAGCCATTTGGGTAAGATTTTGACAGCTATGCCACGGTCAGAGAATCGAAAAAAAATTGAATAGCAAACAACGGATGTGGCTTCTTCCGATCTTCGGATTTCTTCTATTTTGACACCGGCATAAAATTGAGTTTCCGTCATCTTGTAGCAAAGAGCTATTTTCATAGTTGTTGAAAGAACTAACTTTAAACTTCGGGAGACTCCCACAGAGCAAGATCAGTGTATATGTACTAGTGTTGAAAGTCCAAGCACTTTGTAATTACTTTCCGCGTCCCGTGATCAGCATTGTGATCCCATACAACTCATCAGTAAGGTCCGACAGGTGATGAAGAGTTTCAAGTTTCAAGTTTATTTTACACTGTTTTAAAACGATGATAATAATAGCAACAATAATGTTAAACATAATATAAAAAATAAGCGCAAGAGTATCGAGATAAAAGGCAAGGTTTTGTTCAAACATAAGTAACACTCGTGGAAGTAATACTCGTGGAATAAATAAAATACCAAACATCATGAGGGGAAAAAAGAGGAAAAGATAGAAGAAAGAGACAACCGAAATCAATTCGAGAAGAGTGGCGGTCATATCACAAGATCTACCAAAGTCTCACGGAAACGGAAAACTGGCGATAAAAATTCTTTAAGTTCTCTGAATAGAGAAACTTAGGGAAAACTACCTTCCAAACTATACCAACAAAAATGATAGTTAAAAAAAACTTTCGAATACTTTGCAAAACTGCTGAAACCCTAAACACGATTGTTCACCCAGTAGTTTTCCTTCTCTCTTGCGCGCTGGTGCATTTTCTGTACCAATCAAAATATAAGGTTCCCACACGTGTTATATTATTTTTTTCCTTCCTTGATTCTACTATTTTCCAAGAAACCTTAGAAATTTGTCGGGGACTAAGAACAGTCTTATCTATAGCATTTTGGTCTTATCAATGCCTGTTTCCTTATCGCTTTTCAATTACTAATTTTCGGCCCACATATGGATTATGATATGACGTATTTATCATCAGGATATATCTCAAAACGTATCTTGGCGATTCGCGCCAAAACTTGCCGATAGGATATTAAATATTGTCCTCCATGCTCTTGAGATGTCTTTCAAAAATTTGACATGCACAAATCGATTCTCGATATGTGCTCGATTTAGCTCTGAAAGGCTTAATCTTGTGATTCCATTGTCCGCTCGTAATTGAAGAAAAAAATTCTTTTGTTACGCAAAGGCATAAGTTTCTTGGAGGCGAGAGCGTAAATTGCAATTTGGAAAGTAAAAAGAGTCTAAGGGTATTATGTAGCCAGGAGAATTGTATTGCCTTAAAGTTCCGGAATAGTCAGACAAAAGAGGAGCGACCTCCCTCGGCCCTAATATCAGTTTGCCTCGGCCGACTGACGTAACAGCAAATGTTTGTATTCAATTGAATGACAATTAAGTTTGGGTTCCGCTAAACAAAAGGAAATTTTGCACGTCATTAGAGTGCGAAAAGTTGACCGTCAACAGATGTGACGGAGGCTAGAAAGCTTTCGCTTTTATTTTGGTTTGCTACGGTCTGTCACAATACTACGCTTCATATACACAGTCAACGGCGCACGAACTACCGGCCGCTTATCACTATGGCTTTCTCTCCTTGTGAAGGCTACTACAATACCGGAGATCAGAGCAGGTTCGAGAATATGATGAAATTGTTGCTGTTCTTAGAAGCAGAACTTCAACTGAAAGAGGAGATTATAGAATTGTTGCTGGTTTGTATTGTACACTTTTGATGTCATTTTTATCGTGTTAATCGTCGAGTAGCTAAAATACACACGAAAATACGCACCACGATTGCGTTCTTTACAAATAGTTTTCTTTTCGCTCCGGCATCTTCAAGTGTTTTATTCTACAAATGTTTTTTAGATAGATATTAGAATATTAACTATTGTAGACTATTTTCCTGACCGAAATGAGTCTGGGCGCCGTTTCATAGTCTCTCCGCCATTCTTTCATAACCTGCTTTGTCACGTAAGTGAGCTGAGCGCAAAATACGTTGCACGTTGCTTTACATAGAGTGACGAATTTGCGTAAAATTTGCGACATCTCACAAGCTTATTGTTGTCATCACTAATTTATAACCTCTGTCGTGAATTTACCATTCGACGAAACGATCAATTCGCGATTGAATATCTCTTTTTAAATCTTGTTTGATAATGAGCTAGTGATTGTAGATAGTAATGCCCGTCGTTCTCTACATTTATTTTCGAGTATGGCCCTACTCGACTGAGTATTTTTGTAACCAAAACTTGCGCGGGAAGCCATGTGCAAGCTGGGAAAAACTACGTTTCCATCATTTGACAAATGAGTTTACATTTGTATACTTTCTGTTATGGATTCAATCAATTTTTTCTTTTCTTTGGTGATCAATAGTTTCGGAGATTCTTTGTTAGGGATTTGGTAAAATTAGTCTTCCTTACTCAAGAAAAAAACGTCGCGTTACACATCGATCGCTGTAGCACAATTATGATTCAATCGATGTTCCGAATGGGAAGCGTGGAAAGTTTCGCCCATAGTTTTTGTTCCTTCTTTCCTAGCGCGTGAGTGAATGAAATGACTTCTTAGCGAAAGGTCAGGGAACTATCGTCTATCGCCAGCTTATTGCGATCAGAATTCCGTAGATCTTCAAGTTTCCATTCAGGAATTTGCCTTGATCTCTGGATTTTACATACAGATATCGCTCTAATTTTCAATTAACATTCGCTGCGGCTAAAAAGTATTCAGTCAATACTGAGTGACCTGATTTGTCAACGGAGTGATCTCAAGAAAACCACGAATTTTCGCTCTTACCCTGAGGGTCTGGTGAAATAGTGTCACAAAATTTGTTCCACTGAGGCTACGTGAGCTTAATTTCCCGGTCTCAATTTTTTTTTGACAGACAACAAATGTGTTTGAAAAGACATTGCTGGAGCCCCGCTGTTCCGTTCAAATTTATCACATATTTTCTTACCCCAAGGACTTTTGAGACGGCACGATCCTGTTATTTCCTTTTTGTTCGTGACAAGTGAACTTTCCATCTTCATCAAATCAAAAGATCAGATTCTGATCGTTTGAGTTATTTTAACAGTGGGAGCTTTAGGAAGAAAATAGAATCTTTATCACGTGCTGGAACTCTGTGTTTTTAAACATAAATAGCGTGTGATTGAATCGATTTCTTGTTCGTTTCACAAAGCAAAGGAAACCATTTGTTTGCTTTTGAAAAAGATGCGTTCTGCACAGCAATAATAGTAATTACAATAACATCTGCTTCAATAATTCTTCGTCATAATTAGAATGTCCGATTGTTGTTAGAACGGGTTCTTAATGTCATGGATCTTTGAAGCATGAATCATTTATGAGGTACTCTGTGCGATTCAGTCCATATTTTCTTTTCAGCGCAATCGTTCATTTAATGAAGCGGTTTAAGTTAATCCGATTTTGTCCACAAACAAGGGCATTCTTTTTCCTTTCACCATGACTCCCGCCGCTTCCAGACTTTTCTTCGTCTGTCTTATAGTAAAGGTTATGTGGTTTAAGATCTTTTTATCATTATTTATCCAATTTTAATTGGGCCCTCACAATATTTTTGAGTCACGATAATTGAGATATCTACCAGTATTATTTCTCACAATACTTAATAATCTCGAAGAAAAGTCAATAAGTATCTGACAGTACATTGACCGATTCAGAACAGTATCAAACAGTAATACAGTAAAAACCCTCATACAAGAACATGTGGATTAAGTACACCCAGGCTGAAATTTGGTTAAAAAAAGGAGCATATTTATAAGAACACGTTCAGCCTGAAAATTGTTCTTATATATAAAAACTCTTCCCTTTTCAGTTTAATAGAACAAACAGTGCCTGTAGCTTTACTGTGGTATTGCACTAAGATCTCTGTATAAATGCTAGTAATTTCACTTGCTGTATATAGCAAATGTACAGCAACTGTATTTGGAATTAATTTTCTCACAAAGTTATCTATTTCATCATAGTTAGTAAATCCCTTGCATATTTTTAGAAGTAAAAAATGAAGAACACTTGAGAACACTTTCAGGCCGATTTCACCAAAAATACCCGATATATAAGAACCCAATCAGCCTGAACCCCGAAAACGGGTGTTCTTGTATGCAGGTTTTTTACTGTATATCATATAGTACCGTAACAACGCTATGTTAGACTTAATACTGTCCATTTGCAAAACAAAAACCTTTTGCTAAACTCGTGGGAATCAACAAGTTTTGAGCTGCAAATCAACTCAATGAACACTGAGTATCAAACCGTACTTATATGTATAATACTTCCTCATCCCCTTAGTTGTCGTTTTCTTTTCCCCTCTTTTTTGTGTTGCGTCAGAATAGTTGAATCGCCAAAATATCGTTGAGTGAGGGAACCCTTAAAATTCTTCCCTGGTTTTTCCGATCAGCGGGCTGTTCTACTTGAAGAAGAAAAACCTTTCTTCACTGAACCTTTTTTTTAGAATCTGATCAGGTTAATGATAAAGATGTTGGCTGTGAATAGTAGTTTCTTGTTCACGGTTTTTGTTGATTTCTCTGGACTGTTTTCAATCCATTTACCAGGAGGACGAACGAATTCAGGATATTCTCAATGAAAAATTAACTCTGTTAAACCGGAAAGAGCAACACAACCCCGTCCTAGCCTTGGGGCGAGACAACGTCTATGAGGAAGAACTATGGGAAGAACATTTTGATGAGTGGGAGTCTGGTAAGGACTCCTCGTTTGATCACTTGGTCAAGAGTAATGCCAGTCAGTTGTGTGCAGTTGCTGCCATGAGAACGGTAGAAATGGCGCAGATGCAGCATGAAAAGTACATCAAGACTTACAAGTCTCTTCAGAAAACTGGCAGGAGTTACAAGAAGGTAGGTTTATATCCAGACCTGGGATGCGGTTACTCTCTGCATTAACGTCCATGAAAAGGACTTACTTCGCTTCGTATATGTAGATTATGACTTTTAAACAGAGTGAACTATGAACATAATGGTTTGCTCGGGCAGATAAGTGCTAGAGAGTTAATAGCGGAGCTCGCAGAGCGTAGCCCCATGATTATACAAAAAGTAGTAACCCCATCAAGCCGAAAAAATTTGGGCGTCCGTGCAAGGTGCTACTTTTAGCATGCGCGTTCAACTGTACCGCGGGCACGCCAACGCTACGGCTTTGTGCTGTAGTCCAGTGGCCAGTGCGCTGGGTTCCGAGTCGGACGACCCGGGTTCTAGTCCTGGCCGTGGCAAGGTGTTGTACCCTTGATGAGACGTGCGGGAAAAAAAAGATGCGAGCCCCGCTTTCAGGTTTGGCTAAATCTATATATTAGGATACCACAGAGGGACGAGATGGTTAGGGATGGTGAAGCTAAAAAAACGGGTTTAAATGATAATCTTGACAAACTTGTACTATTTTTTTTTTAAGATTCTTAAACTGCAAGGTTGCTCGTAAGGGTCTACGATTTTTCCATGTCCGCTCTAATTACTTGAGCAGGACCTAGTTGTCTCTCAGTTGTTACTAATGAGAACTAACAGAATTAATATATTATTTATACTTCCTTTATTGCAGTTGAAGCAGCAGTTAACTGCAAAGGAAACCAAAGTTGAAGTTAAGGAGACGATTCGGGAACCTGAATCAGACTGGCAAATCCGTGAGCTCGAAATGAAAATCGGAGAACTGTATCTTCAAATCGACAGTGAACGAGAGAGGAACAAAGAACTAGAGAGGAAAATCGAAGAACTTAACTCATCGATCAACAAGGAACGAAGGAGGTGCAAAAAAGTTATCGAAACGTTGGCCAACGAGGTTGAAAGGCTCACAAATCTAGTGAAAGCACAGGGACGAAATGGACACCATTCAAATGGATTTAAAATGAACCACGACAGACAGGAATCTACTAAAGTGGGTTCTAATAATCATATGAAGACTTTTTCCATATCAAACAACAATGAACTTAAACAGTTTTGCGTGCTATAGGAAGAAACCTTCCTGTCCTCGGCTCTGACACCTTTTACAAATGAGAGTACCATTTTCAGCAATCACGTTGGCACAGAGATCGTAACTTAGCCCCGGGAAGATCCAAGAACATAGGAGGGAAATTCGTGACGAACCGTAAGAGCGTTTGCGTAAGATAATAAAGACCCAAAAGCTCTCAAAACTAAGGTTTAAAAATCCTACTAAAATCCCCCAACTAGGCTAATCGGATTAGTTGTTGCCGTGGCAATCAAGGGTTTGCTTTTGTTTCTGCTACTTATCACTGAATAGGGCAAGCTGCTCAAGTGGAATGGTTTTTTCACCTTCAATCGACAACTCTACACGTCGGGCCCTGTGTTACTCACGTTTCGCGTAAAAGTTTGAAACCATACGTTAACTAAACATCGCTTGCGTGCAAACTTTAACCTGGTGAATAAATTCATTTTGTTAAAAGTGTTTTTTGGGGTCTATCACCAACTTTGGTCATTTCGCTTCGATCAGATCTTACAACACTGTGTCGGTCTGTATACGTCAAGCATGAATCAAATCGTTGTGGGATTTCTTGCATTTAATCGACGCCATTAATTTTCTTCTCTTTGTTGAGTAAAATATCCTCTTAAATCTCCCCAGTTCTGTATAGTTTATAATGATTCTAATTTTCATGGGCTCTTTAAAAATATACATTTGTATTTTCTGTTGTGGCATTAATTTTTCCCTATGTTCTTCCAACAAGTTTCGATTCGCATTGGGAAGTTACTAAATAACAAAAGAATGACGAATGAGTTCTGTTGCGGTCTTCACGCCTGTTTATCTCAATTGTTTAAATATATTGCTTGTGTTTAAGATGTTTCATACATTTGAGGGGAATAATTAAAGGAGATTAGCCCGCCAGGACGCTTTTGTTTCCCTTTTCCACGACAAAACACGTCATATCATCAACCGATCAATGTGCAACTTGAAGGTGTAAACTGCAGTTTGGTCACACGTTCATTTTTATGGTGGCTTGCACTTCGTTCTGCAATAGTTCCATGTCTAAGTGTCACACGTTATTACTGTTTTGAATTTAATTTGCATGAATCAGTTAAAGTTGAAAACCATGATGAAAGATGTAGAGGCTAACTCGGCGTTTTCAACAGCTTGATAATAAGCAATTTAAAAGAGACATGAATTCGCTTTCAGAGTTTTGATAATGTCTGGCACTAGTTTGACTCCGTCCTTAAACAGTTCATAAATTTTAGGTTAAGATTATAAAAATCAATATTGATTCGTCTTCAATAAGACTTAGAACGACGAAATTGTGAAAAGTACATTTCATACCTTAACAAAAGAGCTGATTGGTGGAGAGATAAACTCTTCTGGTGGCAGGTGCTATGGTTCAAAATAGATCAATTCTGATTGGTGGGTAAAAAAGAAACGAATTAGTGTATGTTTTACACCAACGTTACTTGTCACTTGGTTAAATTGTTTATTCGGCAGGATATGAGTTTGTACTCTGTGTAGAATCGCTTTCCGAATGGAAAATAACAGTGCAAAGTCAGTAAATGAAATCATCTTCCCGGAAAACGGGAAAGAGGTAAGGTAAAACAATTGTTTTAAAGGTCTCAAATCAGCCTGTTAAATGAATGTAATACATTCTAATTAACTAGCCACTACTTAAAATTGACTTCTTTTGGTTTTAAGAGGGGAATCACTTAGAAAACGTACCTTTCGGGTTCGTTAGTGAAACAGAACAATATATAAAACGATCTTAAAACTATTATAGGTTTTGTTTTCGAAAACTAATTTCTTAGTATATATCCCCATTTAATTGTCGGTCGTTAGGTCAACACTTCAATGCAACATTGAGAAAGTACTTTGGAAGGATGACTTTACTTAGATTACTCGCTTTGTTCCCGATGCTACATTTTTCTTGTGACTTTATTCTGATCTTGTGATATTTTCCTTTCAACTTTCGTTATTAAAATTAAAAGTTGGCAAATAGAAGCTGCGAGAAAGAATAACGAATATTTAATGTGCATAGTAGTAAGTGAAGTTTATGGTTGTAAACCGTTTGATTTGGTTTGTGCTGAAATGCTTCTCACTTGTTAATGTCATCATATCTGTTGTAGTACTTACGAAACTCGAAATCTCGTCCTCGCTTCTAAGTATAGCAATGTCTCATTGCGATCTTCTATCATTGTTTTCCTTGTTATTATTGTTATTTTTATTATTCATCATTATACCAGGTTAGTAGTATCATGTTGATAGTGATCACTGTTATCATTATTATTACAATTTTTTATATTATCATTATTAACATAATTATCATTATTCCTTTTTCTCAATAATAAGAATCGGAAAGACATTGCGCTGATTTACACTGCAGAACTGAAATATAATTCTTCTTATCAATTATTATTTTCGATTTTGATGAAATTGTTCAAGTTGTTGTTACTTTTTATTGATTAGGAAGGTTCTTATACTCACGTCATTTTGCTCCCCCCTCTCCCTCCCCTAAAGTTCTTATACTCACGTCATTTTGCTTTGCTCCCCCCTCTCCCTCCTCTAAGGTTCTTATACTACGTCATTTTGCTTTGCTACCCCCTCTCCCTCCCCTAATTAGCCTTTGAGTTTGGTTTGTCTCGTTAAAAACTCCCAGGCTGACCAGAACTTGATCTTTCAAATAAACACAGGAGGTACTACCTGGTTCCGAAAGCTTACCCAGTCCCATCAGTCGAAGACCAAACAGTGGACAAGGAAGCCCGTCCTCTCCGAGCCCACAACAGCCAAGAGAAAAGATTAAGGCGACATTCGTTTTCCCATTGGATGAAAAATATCAATGTCCCGTTTGCAAAGATGTGCTTCTAAACCCTGTGCAATTTGAAGAATGCGGACATAGAGTATGCAGAAATTGTTTCCCGTCGATAATAAGGTGAGGTTACCCATATTCATTACCATTATTAAGACTGGACCCTTTGACTACTTTGAGAGTGGTCCAGTCTCCCTCCTGCGTCCTGCAAAGGGGTTGAAACCGGGTGGTCGAAGAACGAGTCCAGGAAAACTTGCACGCGAATGCCCAGAACGGACCCATTTTATTCCAATCTCTCGTCGGCCTCCTGGATTCATTCGATAGGGTGTGACAGAATTGGGAGGCTAGACTAGGGGGAAGGGAATTCTACGTGCGCACGAATTTATCTCCGGGATAGCTTTCCTCCACACTGCCTAGATGTCAAATGGTCTGCTCTCAAGATCTTGTTTCCTAGTTCATGGTCACAAATTTACACCTATCCATTGATATGCGTTTTCCATTCTTTCTGATGAGATCACTGAAATTGGAACATAGTATTCAGCTGTCTTTTCCTCACTTAAGGGACAGTTTGTACTTCATCACGAAAAGACAGAATAATCCCTTAGTCAGCGTACGCTATACCACCTAGTACTTTATTATGGAACAAAAAAAAAACGTTTACGCTTAAAATTACTGCAATGTATTTGGGGAGATATTTATACCCTCATTTCTTGCTAACAGAGTCGAACCAAGATGTCCAATCGGTATGCATCCGATTGATAAAGACGCGGTAAGTAACAGAAGATGAGAAAAGGACGTCACTTTAATATTTTAATTAAAACTCGTCTATTTATATGAGACTGCATAAGATGCTTGTTTAGTCTAAGCTAGACGTTTGTAAAAAAAAAAAAAATTATCGACACTAAGAGCTTTTAAGGGGGCAATAAGGAAATTGTTAGGGCTATAATATTACATCAATCTTTTAATATTGATGTAACATTACAGCCCTAACAATTTTAAAAGGTTTCAAATCAGTCTGATTCTATCAAGGTATGATTAGAATTCTAGAGGAAGGATGGATTGGATATTCGAAATTTTCAGGGACTTATACAACTTTTTTGAGAGACATTTTTCGGGATGCTTGTGCCATCTTTAATCAATGAGTAACAGAACGTGAGTAATTATATAACAGACAAGAAGATGAATAAAATATTTACAGTATGATGTAATACAAAAGCGGGTACTAATTACAACGTGACACCAAACACCAAAGGTGTAAACTAAAACGCTAGAAAACTGTTATAATGCTGTAATTGTTTGTTAAGTTCAGGTTTAGAACACTTTTCTAGCGTTTTAGTTCACACCTTTGATGTTTGGTGTCACGTTGTAATTAGTACCCGCTTTTGTATCACATCATACTGTAAATATTTTATTCATTTAATTGTCTGTTATATAATTACTCACGTTCTGTTACTCATTGATTGAAGATGGCATAAGCATGCCGAAACATGTCTCTCAAAAAAGTTGTCTATTTCTTACAATATTTATCATACTTGCTACTGCTACGACCTTTCAGGGAATTGTTCTCATAGTCATTTTAATTATGACTCAACCCCTTCAAAACAATTTTCATCATATATTCAGATACCTATATAAAATATTTAAACAAAAAACCCTCTTCTTATGAACAAGTAACGACATGCTCTTTTAAAAGCAACTGCACTTAAGTCAGGTTAGTCCAAGGAGTGTCACTATGCCCGAGACTTGGTGGAGAGAAGACTTACTCTTTTTCTCAGATATCACGGTGTAATTGTGGCAGGTACAAAGCTAAGGGAGACTCCCTCGTATGATTTCATTCCTAAATTAGTGACCGACCATTCCTGTTGTCTTCTAATGTTCGGGGTGTTTTATAGATTGTTTTTACTTTTTAAGTGTAAAGATTAATTTGAATCGATTCGATTGTCTTGAGCAGTAAGCAGTAAAGAATCTCCGATACCGCCAACAGGAAACTTCATAAAAGCATTTAGTTCAACTAATAACATTTTCCGTTTCTTTTTTTTTAGGCGTATGTGGACAAAGCGTTCCATAAGGAAATTTTAGCGCTTGATGTCAGATGCAACAATCACGAATGGGGCTGCAAATGGGAAGGCGAGTTTGAAACCGCTCAGGTACTATCACTGCTTGGTTTTCAAGAACGATTTATTTTCCTCAATCTCAAGGAAATCGCATTCACATTGGTCAGTCGAAGCTCATGTAACAAACCAGTAGAATTCCAATCAGATGATCCTCTCTTGACTCAGACATTTTGAAGAGATTCTACAAGATTTAATATTTTGAAATCCTCAAAACACTTAGTTGGTACGTCATTTCGTCAACCAAGAGGTCGGGGTGACGAAACTTTCTCATCTAGGTAAATGTATGCTCACTAAATGTAGAGCACACCAAAGTAATTCACTGTGTAAGTTTGTATTCGTTTTTGAAATGCCGCTCTATATTAGGGTTTTTGTTGAAATATTACCAATTTTTTTTTTTATGAAGTCGAGCTCAGTTGCTTGGCTTCCCATGAAACGTTTCTTCCATTTCATTTCTATGCACAACAAGTTTGAATGAAATTAATGAAGTTGAGAGCTTTTTTTGTATTCGTAGAAACATGCTACTGAGTGCGATTTTGTGGAAATCTTGTGTTCGTACGAGTGCGGAGCAAAATTTCAAAAACGATTTTTCGAGAGGCATGTAGATAGAGACTGTCCGAAGAAGATAATTATCTGCCCTTACTGTGATGACAGACACCTGAGGGAGGAGAGAAAGGTTGGAATATTATCCAAGTTGTTTTAAACTAAGAATTAAACGGCCATGTCAAAGTTTGAGTGAGGTATCTCCTACTACATCGGTTTCTCACACCAGCACGTCAGTTCAAGCTACAGTAACTAAGATGTAGAGTGCTGTCAGTAACTTTAGTTCCATTTTCCCAACAGAGACACCTCATAGAGCACTCGATTTATACAGAGTACCACAGTGGTGTACTAAGCAGTGCGAAGAAAGCGACAAAAAAAAAGGATAGAGCAAAGGGTTCCAAATCTGACTCTTTTTCTCCGCTTTTCCCTGCGTCATTTTTTATCTAAACTCTTGGAAAAGGCTATACAAAGAGCCAGTAGACTATTAGATGACTTAAAGACCTTGGTTACTTGCCTCACATAGCTACATGCATGTTTTAGGCACTGACTTCCTCTCTAGTCGTCCTTTCGCTTATGTTGTAGTACACTTGACTCTATTCCGGGGTGACGACCACAATGATGTATTTTACGGTTCTAGAATCATATGAAGGATTGTCCAAAGCTTCCAATGCCGTGTCCTAACAAATGTGAAAAGAAACTTGTTATCAAAAGAGATCAGGTGAGGTGAATGGGGCATGTAAGAGCAATGGTTTATACGGTTGCTGCTGTTGTTGCTGAAATGAAATAGATGGAAACAAACGACGTCAATATCGCTGACGTCAATTACAGTAAAAACAAAAACGTTAAATGATGATTTCTTCGCAGAAAACAACTAACAGTATTTTTAAAATATGAAGTTCTAATGTCCATGTCGTAACTTACTGATGTTTCAGCTAGATCATCACGTCGGTGAGGAGTGTCCTAAGACAAAAATGATCTGTGAATACGAAGATATTGGCTGCACTCACAGCGTAAGTGCGATCCTAAAACTGCAGATTCATCTAAAAAATTGAACTGTGCTCTCTTATTAAGTGGTTGAAGTATCAGTTATTGTTTCTGTAGTGCAGCCGAGAAAAGTTACCCAAACACCACAAAAGTGAGCTGATCAATCACGTAAGACTGCTCTATGGCGTCGTCATGGACCAGAAAAGAGAATTACTGGAATCCAAAGTCTTGCTTAAAGAACAAATGGACACAATCAGCCAACAGGGAAAGCGTATCGAGGATCTGGAACGAATTACTAACAGCCAGTTGATCTGGAGAATCGACGACTATCACCGGAAGTTAAAATCAGCAAAGAGTGGAGAGTTGGACACGATATTTAGCCCGGAGTTTTACACGAGTAGGAATGGATACCGACTGATGGCTTCCGCTTGTTTGAACGGAGATGGAAGAGGGAAGGGAACGCATTTATCTGTGTTTATCAGCGTTGTTCAAGGTAATTTGGTAACATAAGGTAAACCTGAGCCTCAAAGAAGAACGATATGTAGAAAAGACTTTTGAAATAGGTCAAGATCGGCTGAGGTCGTGTCTTACGAAACTTACAACTAAGGAGCGATGAATGTTATATTCGTTAGTCCTCGTGTGTGTGGAACAAAAAAAAAAAAGAAAAAAAGAAAAATAACCAGAATTCTTCCTAAGAATTTGAAGCTACAAGAATCTTTTGTGTTATTATACATAAAACATCCGTGACACTCATTCTTTTGATAAAGGAAGATGCTATTCAGGGAATGACACAGGTGCACAGGTGACTTGGAGAAGAAGAACTCCGAATTCTCCCAACTGAAGTCCACGAACGACCTTTCAGTTTGTACTTCGGACCCTTTACCACTGTGCTAAAGGAGGCTCGTGACAGGCTAGGGCGCCTAGAATTTTTGTCTCCGAAAAAGGAGAGAAGTTATTTTTAATACTTGATTTGTTGTAATTTACAGGAATATACGATTCGCTGTTAAAGTGGCCGTACAACTACCGCACCACGTTCTATCTGTTGGATCAGAACGAAGACCTTTCCAAACGGAAACACATCATGTTTTCAGTCAAACCAAACGTCTGTCCTGAAAATGAGCCGTTCCTTGGCAGGCCCAGGACTAACAAAAACCCTGGTTTTGGCTCTGGAAAATTTGCTGCGCATGAAGACATCGAGAAAGGAGGGTACGTCAAAGATAACAAAATGTTTATCAAGGTCGTCGTGGAGTGCGACGGAATGAGTGAACCTTGAAATGATATGACCAGGAACGGCTAGTTTGTCGGGACAAATACCCATGGATCTCCAAGGACCAGACGTGAAAGTGCTAAAGAAATTCAAGACGGCGTCCAGTCCGTGCATACTTTTTCGCGCCTCAGTCTACTTCTAACAGTGTAAATATCCACTGTATGAGCATAGACAGAACATGGACTCTGTCTATGGACTATGTCTGTTAGAATAACCGCTTTTATATAATCACTTATGGAGGGGGGCATTGGGGCCTCTAGGAAACCGCAGAACCGGAGAAAAAAAACCTCCAAAACCAAAAAACCGACGAAAAAAGGCAGCAAAACCGAAAACCGCATGCAAACCTGACAAAACCGCTACATTTTCACCTTTAAAGGGATCAAACAGGAAAAACCGAAAACCGCATCAGAGTTTCCATGAAAACCAAAAACCGAATGCAAAAACACGCAAAATCCGCGAACCGCTCTGAACATCAAAACCGAAAAACCGAACCTTTCTGGCCCAAAATCCGAAAAACCGATCCAAAAAACAGTCAAAACCGCAAAACCGAAAATCCCAAAGCCCCCCTCCTTATGATTACTTGGATAGACCATACACGAACACCTAACATTTATTTACGGCTCCAACTGTTTCTCAGGTTAACTAGTCTTAACATGTTTTCACGCTACTAGTAATAGCATCGATTAAGTTGGAGTTGTATTACTCAATTCTCATGGAGGATCAGATTTTTCTGGCTTAGTCCCAAACTTGTAAACATTTTTCTTTTAACATTAGCCATGTTTTACGCTTTCCAGATTTTTGTAGTTTTCATAACATTTCCATTTTAATAAGCTTTGCCATCATAAGCCACGTGACCATCTCAATTGCAAATACAACTGCTGATTAAAAGGATGAGTAGGTACATATATATGCTTCAGTAATTAATCTTTCGAGGAAACCTCCAACCTCGGTGGTCATTATTCAGATATAGTCAGAATACGTGGATTCTGAATAGCTATCAATTATTGATCAGATCTGCAGAGTGCCTCTTGCGCAAACTTAAAAAAGCTTAAAACTTGCAGTAATGGCTAAGCAGCCACATAGTTATGTAGCTAAGTAAAACCTTAGTGGCATCCCAGGTGAGTAAGCATCAGCGCTATTTCTAAAAGATGACAATACCTCTGTTTAGTTATATTTTCCTTTTATCATGATGACCCGGCAATTAAAAGTTCTCGACCTTAATGAGATAGTGAGCTTTCATTTCTTCTCTGAATAATGAAGCAGGTGAAATGCATATGCCTCTCCGAAAATTGTAATTACTGCTTTGGCGATCGACACTTAAAAACACACCAGGCGGAAAAAATATCAGACTTTCAAATGACTTTACAACATTTCCAATACCTGTAAAGAGCAACCATAGCAACAGAAACCAGAAACTTGTTAAAGCTGTAGTCCTGCTTAGTTCTCTCCAAAGGATCTCATATAACTGATTATAGTGGTACTCTGTGCCGAGCTGTCATTGTGGGAGTTTATCTCTGTTAAATAATGAAATCAACAGAGCATATTTCACATTTTATGTCAGTGTTTTCATTTGATCCTGTTTGCCGAGTTAAATTACCTGTTTTTCTACCTCAAAAATGACCAAGGACAAGAATGACAAGTTGCGACCGCAATACTAAAACTTTCTCGTTGGTTACCATGACGATTCAGTTCGAATTTTGCCCTACGAAATCGTAAATATGAGAGATACCTTCCAGATCACAAAGCCGCAGATAAGCGAGTGGTCCTTCCCCCCTTCGACCTTGAACTCAGTGACGCATTTACTTATACTATGACGCTATTGTTGTCATGAGGATTTCCTTTACTAGTTTTAACGTGATGTAAGATGTAATGATTTTGAAAATTTTCATTAAGTTTCTTTATTCTCAGCTGTGCTATTTTTACTGTTTTAGAAATCTCTTAAAATAACCTGTTTTTACTTAAATTGTCTTGGTGATGCCGTAAAGAACGAGATTTAAGCGGTACGAAATGAGATGACATTGACAACATCACCTTTCGTCAGGTCTAAGAATGTAGATGTAGACAGCAAAATCACTTTTAGTATTCTACACTATCACCAAAATTATTCGCTTGTAAAAATTTGCTCTCAGTTTATTTTGTTGAGCATGACAACAAACACATAATCATCTTTAAACCTTCGGCCTGATTGGTTGAGTTGCGAACGTTTGAAGTGGCAGGTGAAAAGAACATGGTACGCCCGCTGTGATTGGTCGTGGTTGAACTTTACTGAAGGCAGGTGCTGTATTGCGGTTAAGTTGGTTTATACAAGTTGCGTTCGCGGCTTCTTTCGTGTGGATAGTTTTCGACAAAAAGCTACGATCTTTGAAGTTGTTTAACAAGATGCCTGACATCGGCTCGAGCCAAAACGTCCAAGAACCACCACACTTAAACGGAAACATTTCTCAAAATGGAGAAAGATACCCCGACAAAGAGGTATCTGATAGATGAAGTCGTTTAACTAAGTGCATCGTTTCTTCCGCGCCGGGAAATTATGCAGAACTTAGATAACGTTGACACCGATCATTTAGTGTGATTTAATTATGAATGTTCTGGCAGGAACGCTAGTTTTGCGAGCCTTGTAAGGAAAAGAAGTGCACTATGGTTATGATTCTTAACTTGGAACCCCAGAAAACAACCCTGCAAATTGAGGTGAAGTGAAAAATATCACGTACATTTTGCACTCTGTTGGGAATAAACGACAGCCGGTAAATAAGTTGAAATGGTGTCGAGGAGGTTATTTTTGAGATGAAAAATTTCGACTTAACTTCTAGGATATTAGGTTACATTTTCTCGAAAAACAGTGCGTGTTTCTGCTGACCCCTTTCAAGATGGGGTGGTCTGGTTTCATCGCAAATTTTAAGCAAAGGGGAGTTTTAAGAATCAATAATTCGTGTGTCCTCGCTTTTAGAATTGTATTTCACCTGGTAAACAGTTAGACGAAAGGCTAATTAATCCTATCGATATTCCATATTATGCGAATTGTTGGCTGAGTGTATGTCAGTGCTGACCGGCTGCTGCTGGATATAATTTTAACTATTGTGAAACAATGGCAAAAGGCATGCGCTTCTTTAAGTTCAATTTCACCGCCAACCTGACAAAAGGCGGAACGCAATCCTCATTTTAACATTTTTGCCAGGACCTGCTAAGGTATTAGTTTTAAAAAGAGGCGAGTTTAATAAAATTCATGAGATTGTGAAGATGTTTCGGAGCGAAATAATGTTATCTCGAAGAATCTCACTAGCAATTCTGTCGCCCAATCGTATCTAAAATTGTCACTAGTTCTTCTCCACTTTTTTCAAATGCTTTCCTATTTAACTAGCAACAAAGTTTCTGTGTCGAAGCTTTTGAAAGTCTGCGTTTCTATTCTTCCCGTTTTTTTTTTTTGTTGTTGTTGTTGTTTCCAGAGAAGAAAAACTAAGACTCTAGAATTACTTTAATTGTCTTTATTGAACGTGGACCTGTTAAAAATATTTTGGATGTTGGACGAAAACAATAATAATGGATGTAGAATGAACCCAACTCATTCTCAAAGAAGTTTACGGTAGAGGTAAAAATATACATAATTATTAATAATACACAAACATCTCAAAAGACCACCAGAAAAAAATATTTTTTAATACATTCGATATGCATTTCCTAATGATGGACCAGATCACCGGCCGTTTTTGTTTCGTTTATTTTTTTGGTTTCCTCAGAAATTTATCATCACCGCAAACTGTGAAGCTAGAAACAAACGTATAAAGAATGAGTTCATTCGTTTTCTGTAATTTACATTTGTTTTTATTTCATAGTTTTTGTCATTAACTGCCTCCGCGGCGAATAATTATACTCAGTCCCACTTTATGGCTCATTCCATTTCCCGCGGGTAGATGTTAGTTTCCTGAAAGAATCAAAACTTATTAGACATAAAGTTTATCAAAAAAATTGACGAAAATATTGTCGCTTAGGAAACTGTCGTGATGCTTTGGCTATTCAAATCCAAGTGACGAACGTCTGAGTATGGTTTCAGTGAAAACATTAAATTGGAGCGAAAAATCATGATGGAGGTAGTCGATCGAAGTCTTTGCAAACACCTTTGTTGATTGACGCCTGAAAGCAACTGTCACCTTTCAACCAATGATATCATTTCATTGCATAACTTTCTATTCAATAATTTATCATAGCAGATAGAACTGACTAGCAAAACTTTCAAGTTATTTTGAGCGAACACACTCCATCTATCTTTGTACAAAGGCGTCCGGTATATCACATGAAATGTTAATGCTCGTTTTCACCGTCGCTTAAAATTTAACAATTTGTTTGCATTTGCCGCACCATCATGAACATGACTCAAACATGGCTGAAATTGTCTTGATCTTTGAATGCTAGGAAAGTAATATGACCGGAGGAAGTCACAGTCCAACTGGAAGCGCGAAGTCTCGGGGAAGCAGTCGTGGAAGCCCAGCTCCGAGTCAGCTAGAACGGGAGAAGTTCGATTTGTCACTATTTGTGTATCCTCTGGAGGAGAAGTATCAGTGTCCAATTTGCGGGGATGTTCTCCGTTATCCAGTTCAATTTATAAGGGAGTGCGGACATCGCGTTTGTTGCAAGTGTTTCGATGAGCTAAAAAGGTAGGTCGTAAGATACAGTTCAACGCTCTATTGTTTTATCTTTTTGAAATAGAGATGCGTCTTTTCAGTGTCTGCTGCAGTTATTAGTTTCGGCCATATTTTAAATTCATCATTGTGTGCGACGGATTAATTTGGCTTACGCGTTTTCTTATCGATTTTCGAACCGCTTTGCTGGTTAAATTCACATGGCGAAAATTAGCAAACTTCCTTTATTTAGTTTTCACTTTAGTAACCGCGATCGCTTTCGTTTTGACGAAATTAAAAATGCAAGGATTTTGTAAAAAGCAGTTTGGTCTAATTACGTTTAATTCATAGAACGTGTCAAATTTTTTTTACAAAATGCTTGACTCTAATACCGGCAATTCTGGCTTCTAACTAGTTCAGAATGATTTTGTATCGCGAAAAGTCGTGAAACATTACAGCCGCGCGAAATGAAAACCATAAACGTTCGTTATTTTAATTTAATTGTGAATTAATAGAATTCAAAATAGTAAAGTAAAGAAAAAAACCACAGCTATATTGCTTTAGAGTTACATTCTAACCTTCATTTCTGGAAGGCAATTCCCAACTGAATAAATGTGAAATTTTAAGGGTTTGTGACTAAAAAGTAATTTTCTCTCAGCATAATACGTGACTGAATAAAGAATTTCATCTGGCACAACTCTCTGGCGCTCGATAAACAGATGCAACTTAAATGCATGCACTTGTGAGTCCATTTTATTTTACGGCTTTAAACCAGATGGTGTTTCGATATCTATATTTTTCTCTTTTAACCATCCAATGTAACTATTCAAATTCAATGATTTTTTCCGCCGCCTCTTTTGTAGGGTCGAACCGCGATGCCCGGTGGATCAAACACCCATCAGCAAAGATGACGTATGTGTAACATTGAAATCTCTGATTGAATATCAACTCAGTATAAGGAATATCATATTCTCTGCAAGTTACAGTTGCAGTGCATATTCACTTTTTAATTTGTTTGTATACAACTTAACAATCAAGGTTCTCCATCCAACTAATTTGATTTGAAATTCGAATGAACTGGGAAACCAGGATGCGACCGAAACAGATGTTTTTTCTTTATATTCATATTGAGTTCTTGGGAATATAAATACTTGTTGATGACTGTTCTCAAAGCTGGACATCTCTGCAGGTTTTCTCCACCATTTCCAAACAAACACTTTACAAAAAAACGTGACTGAACAATTGACTGGATCTTACTTGCACGTGAATCAAAATGATGTATTATCATATGGTTGCCTGTTCCTTAACTTTCTGATAAATGAAATCAGGCGTTTTATGATTTCGACCTTAGCAGTGGTCAATTCGCAACTACCTGAGTTGAAAATCATTGTCAAGTAATGTTACGCGAATCAAGATAGAATTGAATGAAAGGCATTGCCATAAAGGGTTTGTCCTGAGTTTCTCTGTGTGGCATGAAAACACGGAATGTGTCTGCTGCATTCATTTCTTATACTTCACAGCCAAAAAGGAAAATTTTAGCCGTAATGACTGTACTGAAAACAGGAGAGACTAAGAAGCATGGGCGCACTATACCTCAGCACACTTATTGCGCTGTTATTGATGATATACAAGGTTTTCATTAAGAGATGAAGTTGTAGGAGAAAAGTGTTAAACAACAGGGACACTTTCTCCACGTGAGAATAGAAAATGGCTTAGGCCATCAAAAGTTTGCTAGAGAGCTTGGGGAAGTATAGCCAGATAATTCTCATGATGAACACTCTAAATATCAATCAATCAACTTCAAGATTGCAAAAACTGAGTCGCTTTTACTCGTAAACCCTTTGAATTTTGCTAAAGACTATTGCATATGCAGCGAATATTTACCACGTTTCTAAGTGGTGTTTATCTTGTTTTCATTTGACAGGCTTACCTTGACAAGGCTTTTCATAACGAGATCTTAGCACTTGACGTCAAGTGCAAGAACAATGAATGGGGATGCAAATGGGAAGGAGAATTTCAGAATTATCAGGTAAATAGCCTGCCATTATTGTTTTCCTTTCTGCTTTTGACAAAGAGATATATATCAAAGATATGAATCGTTCCTATCGCAAATAATAACGTGGAATGAGAAGACTTAAACAATTATCTTGTAGATATATTAATCGTCACCAGGATGGACTGATCTTGAAGCTGTCGGATCAAGTTGATGTCACTTGCCATTTTAAGACAGCGATTTGTTGGCTTTTTTTTTACTCTTGTGGTTTTTTTACATCTACGGATTTTTGAATTAGTCTCATAATCTGTTTGATATAAACAGTTTACTACCTCGGTAACGATATTGTCTCTGAGATCGCGATGATACAGCTTCCTATCTTTCCTTCGGACTAAAATCAACGTAAGTGATATGCAACAAATGTCAGTCCAGTTTCTCAGAGGAAACATTTAAGAATTAACGGGGATTCTTTCATCTGATAAAGAGGTCCTTTCAATTTTTTTTCGAAAGCAAATCAAATTTATTAATTTACTGAAGAAACTATCCACCAAAGTGAAGGCTGTGGATGTAACACAGATGGAGAGGGCTTCGATGACTTTCAATAAAAATGTCGATATGAATCATCGCAAACAATAGAAACACCTGCCTACTGCAAAAATATCACGCGTAGAATGCAATTTCATCTTCATTTTCGCTTTTGCTATCTTATTGTGTCGAATTTCTAAATTACTCATTGTTTACTCAGAATGCCGAGAACCACCATTAACACGGCAACATGGTACTAACTGAGCAAACTAAAATCTTTAGGAACACTCAGGAAGGAAAAAGAAAAATATTTTGAAATCGAGCTATGGTGACCAACGTTTTTCCGTTTTCTCTGCTAAATATAGATGGGTTTTTCATAAAAAAACATCGTTTTTAGTGTATTTTTAGTGAAAAAGTAATTTAAATGGGTCTTTGCAGAATGAACTTGATTCTAAGTGTTCTGAGTGTTTCTTCCATCACTGAGTTAAATGATATGAATTCAAGCCAAGTGTCGCTGCGTGGGTGGTTCCATAAGACAATCAGAAATGCTCTCCACACACCACAACAGCTTGCTGATGGAAATCAGGAAAAACGCGAAAAATCACATCCTTTCTGAGAAAAACCTCTGTTTAAACTGGCATTTGACCTAAAGGTCACAATATAATTTACAGATAGCATTTTTCTAATCCGAATTTGGTGCAGATCTCCGGTCCCTTTTTGAACTGGAACTCACATCATTATTTTCAGTTGCGAAATTATATCCTGGGATAAGTCCTCTAGAGTCTGAAATCCCGTAAATAATTTAAAACTGAAACAGACAGATTTGACCTTTGTTCGGTTGTGTTTGCAATCAAAACGCAGCTATAAGAATGTAGTTATGTAATTTGTGCACAGTGAGACTTCCTCTCTCCCCATTCCGACCGTAACCCGAACAGGGGCTATAACAATTCAACCAGATTCCAACACGAATTCAGTTCGTAGCTGTCACCTCATCCTGTGTAGCGGATCCTCTATTGCTTTCTATTGCTATTTTTCGACGCATTTTCCTTTCTTTATCAATTTCACTTAAACTATCAACAGCTGTTTCTTTTATAACTTAAGCAAGGAATCATGTACGCGAACCGAGTGCGAGAGTACGGGGTTACTCACTCTCCAACCTTTTTGCGTTCGCTTCCGCACACGGGTTCGTTGAATTCCTTAGTGGATTGATATAGAAGGTCTGTGAACGAACTACCACCATTTTCCATCAACATTAACCTCTCTGTAACATCACTTTATACTAATGGTTTTGAAATGATATTGCTATTTGTGTTAAAAGGACCACGTAAACTCGAATTGTGAATACGCGGAAATACTCTGCATGAACGACTGTGGTGCAAAGTTTCAGAAGAGATTTTTGCAAAAACATCTGGACAAAGATTGCCCGAAGAAGATCATCGCTTGCCCTTATTGCGATGATAGACATCTCAGAGAGGACAAGAAGGTAAAAATTTCACTCGTAGTCTTTCTTCACAGTGTGTCGAATATTACACAGATTTCTTCACAGACGACGGCTTACTTTTTTCACAAACCTATGGCCTTAAGTAGATTATAATTAACTGATAATCACCTTTGGCCTTTTTCTTTAACTACAGTACACGGTTTAAAGTGTACTGTAAAGTTGGACACGAAATTAATCTTATCTTCGGTATAATTAGAGAAAGGCTGGAATCGATAGTGGTGATGACGATAGTGATAATGAAATGGATGACCCAAATATAATTTTAACTTGCCACCTTCCCAATGGATCATTCAAATGTTACACACGATACTTCTACTTAATTCGTTTGACATTTTCTAGGCGCATCTGGCAGACGAGTGTCCCAAACTACCCCTTCCATGTCCAAACAAATGTGACAAAAAGCTGGAGATTCCTCGAGATGAGGTATGTTCGTGGGCATTTACATTATTGGGTTTTTCATGATAGATGTCAACTATAAAACATTCTCATAAGCTATGATATTTGATAGTCATCACACCCTCTTAAGAAATGGGAATATTTAAGCAACCCCAAAGATATCATCTTGATGGTTTTCACTGAAAATAAGTTGAGTCGTATTGAAAAGATGTGTTTCTGGCTGTGAATTCCTAAGCTTTTAGTTCAGATATATGAGCTACCTTCGAGTAGAGATGTTCCATCCTGTCCTTTTCCTTTTTCTGGTGAAATTCGTCTTTTAAAGTAACTTTTTAGCGTTAAAGGACAAGTACTTTTAAAGGTTTTCTTTAATGTTAAACGACGCCTGTTATACCGGATGAATCATGGTTCGAGTTAATCCCAACGATTTCAATCTCAGCCAGTTCAAACTGTAAAGATTTCATCGAACCTGTATTCTTTTCAAAACAGCTGGATCAGCACATAGAGGAAGTTTGTCCGAAGACGAAGATGATGTGTGAATTTGAGTACATCGGCTGCACACACAGGGTAGGTTTTCGAGCAACTGTATCTTTTCCCTTAAACGATACCATAGTTAGTAGTTAGTAGTCCCCTCTACTAACTATGACGATACTTTATCGATCAGTTTTCCAACACGTGAGTCAGACCCGGATTGTCACTTAATAAACGAGGGAAGCCTTCGAACAATGCAAATTGATTCAGCAAAGAGGCCTTTATGGTGGGACCTCACCGTTCGTCATGCATTCTAGTATCTGTATCGAAACAATTCCGAGTTTTTCCTTTCATTTACGGAAAGTATGATATTGCTTTGCATACACGTTACTTTCTCCTCGAGTGTTCCAATCATTGGTAATTCTAAAAGTTTTCGAAATAACTCGGAGATTCTATTTCCTGCACATACCATGAAAGCTAATGTAAGTTGATCTGCTCTTTTTTTTTTTTTTTTTTTACAGTGCAGCAGAGAAAAAATGCCAAAGCATTACAAAAGTAACATGATCGAGCATGTTAAGGCAGTCTTTGTGAAGATACAAGAGCTAGATGGAACGCTAGGAAAACACGAAAACACCCTTATGGAGCAGGCTGACCTCATCAAAGCACAGGACAAGCGAGTTGGGGACCTGGAGAAAATTGCAAACAGCCAACTCATTTGGCGAATCGAGGACTACACGCGCAAGCTAAAGGAAGCCAAGGCAGGAAATGGAGACACGTTGTTTAGTCCTACATTCACGACCAGCAAGCATGGATACCGCCTGTGTGCCTCAGTTTGCTTGAACGGTGACGGAAAGGGAAAGGGATCGCACATGTCTGTGTTCATCAGCGTTTTGAAAGGTAAGCAAACATTAACAGTTCAAATGCAGAAAATGGTAGAACCGTTCACTTTCATATCTGTCAACTGACAGATATGAAAGAGGTTCCTTGTAGTTTGCTACCTGACGATAATTCTTTTTTTTTTTTTTTTTTTTGAGAAACGTCACGTTATGGATTGTTTCATGTTATTGAAATATGTTATTGTCAGGGAGTTATTTTCAACGTAAAGAATTCGAGTTACAGTGAAAGAGGAAGTCGACAGAGAGGACTATATTGTCTTCTCTATTAAAAGACCACTTCTTTTTTGATGTTTCACCGATTACTGTTGCAGGAGCTTTTGACAGTTTGTTGAAGTGGCCTTTCGACTACAGGGTAACATTTTACCTTCTCGACCAGAACGAAGATCACGCACAGCGAAAGCACATTAAATTCAGCATCAAACCGAACCCGTGTCCAGAGAATGAACCGTTCCTTGGTCGACCCAAGCTTGAAAAGAACGCTAGCTTTGGAGGAGCAAAGTTTGCCAAACACGATGAGATTGAAACCCGGAACTACATCAAGGACGATACTATCTATATCAAGATTTCAGTAGACTGCGACGGGTTGAGTGAGCCGTAAGATACAACATTGTGATAGCTATTAACAACCTATAGAGTAGTGCAACTTTAATTATCAATGCACCTTTCAAGGCTTTAAACAGCTGATCGCAGGTCGATGTGTAAGCAACCAATGAATCACTCGCAAGCAAGCATGCGCTTACAATACTGGGCCGGGTTGTTCAAAGCTGGGTTAAGATAACCCAGGGTTAGTGGGATATTTGACTTCACATCTGAAAGCTTTAAATAACAATTCAGTACAATTCTCTTTGTCTACAATTTGATGATTGGATAGTCTAAAAAAGAATAGGGAAGATCATCCCAAAAAGAGTCTTGAATAGAGGAATAAGAAATCTGGATCAAAATCTAACCCCGGGTTTGTGCAAGTCGGCCTTCGAACAACTGGGCCCTGGACAGTAAAAGTGTCGAGCGGGTAATTATGGAAGTCTTTTTTGTATTAGAGGTATAATCTCACCGTAGTGTCCACTTGAAGGCGAACGTTGGAGGAGGTTTGATTGTACATAAAAATTATGTCCTGGTATTTCAAAGTTGAAAAACGTCGAGAGATTTGTATCATAAATCAGAGGGTATTTCCTCAGAAAATTGGAAAATTGTGTCTAGACAGGAATTTTTTAGATTTCAAGTAACAGCCGGGATTCTTTGCTATTCGAGAAACTTATTCAAGCGTAGGTTTTGGGACTGGTTAGCTCTTATAAGCGCGAGATGCCTTCTGAGTTCTCGTTGCGAGTAGACCCTTCGGTCCTAAAAACCGTGATACTCTTTCTTTAGAGAGAGAAGATATCTGGGAAACATACTGTTTGTTTTTTTGGGCAATTCCCGAGAAAGTGCAAACGATGAGGCCATGATTCTAATAAAAATAACTATGATATAATTTATCTAATAAGTGGTATCGCTCTGAGTATGTCAAAAGTCACGATATTACGTTGCTAAGCAACAGCAATTCCGTCATATTAGAAGAAAAAGGAATTTCCATGGTAAAACTAGTTGTCAGCAGAATATGGTGACGTAGGATTGTTGTTGCTAGAGTCAGTAGACCCTGATTTATAACACTGCAGATTAATTTTTAAAATGAAAGAAATCACCTACACAAAAAATGCGGTAAAATAGTCGCGCTTGTCTTAACAGCTTAGCTTTTCGTAGATTGTTAGAGCAATTTTAACATGTCTCCAATATTTATTAATTGCCGAGTAGGTAATCTTGTTTCACTTGCACGGCGAGCTACTTCTCGTCTATGGTAGTGATACAGTTAAATGTGGAACATTTTACTCATACAATACGAAAATATACGTGATGTTAGCGCACAATTCATCATAATCGAAGTAGAACTATTTTAGAATAGCAAAATACTTTTCCTGTGTATGTTTAACTTTTCACTTCTTACTTGTAAATAAAGAGAGACGTTTGAATTCCAATCTCGGTGTCCTTCTAAACTTGTACTTAAGCCATGACCACCATATGTGCTCGATGTTGCTTCAAGCGATTTCCACTTGACCACTAGACTCTAAGGGCTGATGACAATGTCCGTGATCTGTAAAAATAGGATGAGGCTTAAATTAGATCTTGAATTCATTGCGCGACTCGGGAAATTTCAGCAACTTCCCAAAACACGCGTGATATTAATCCTTAATTTTACTGGGCCCCATGCGATTACCTATACTTACAAATGGTACAGCTTATATCATTACAAAGGGCGATGGTCTGTTATTACAAAGTGCGACCGGCTTATGTCACGACAGAGTGTGACAGCTTTTTATTACAAAGTACGACAATTTTAGCACTAAATGCGACAGGTATTACAAATTCGACGATTATTACAAAATATAACAGAACATCGTGCCGTGTGAGAATATGAAACCAAAGCTTGAATGGAAAAAGAAGTCAGTTTTCCCTCTAACAAATTCGTGCCTGGGTTCCTGGTGATTGACAGGTGGAACTCTTGCATCACTGACTAATACTGGGGCAGTCTGACTTGATGAATTATTTTTTAAATTTTTTTTTTTTTTTTTTTGCTATTGCTGTTTGGGGAAAAGTTCTTTAGTGCGAGAGCCTATCGCAAATTTACTCGTAAGTAGAGATTTTAAGATGCGTAATACAACTCTGACCATATTCGTTTGGTATACGTTAGTTCTAACGAGATGTATGTAATATGAAGTTATAGTGCGGCTAAATTCATACTTTTTCCGACAACTTCTTGGCGTCTCATGCCAAAAATGCCAATAAAACGTTCTAAGGAAGTCTATATTGGGAGTATTTGGCTGAGCTGAGCGTGCCTGTGCTCATACTCAAATATGCTTTCGATATCAACTTGAAACTTCTTCATCTTACCAGAACTCGCTCCATCTGTCCATCTTCGAAGGGGTCCATTGGATGATGAAAGTCCATCTTTATGCGTTTGTCTTTACCGATATCTTTAATAAATTTAGATTCATTGCCAACTTTAAAATGTGGAATTCGAAGTTCCTTGTGGTAGTGCCGCCATCTTGTGCAGCGGCTGGTGCAGCCACGTTTTTGGCGGGAATCTGATTGATTTCCGTGGAGCCCGTGCTTCTCACGGTTAATTACCGTGAAAGTCCCAGATGATTCATCTTTTTTCTTTTCTCTAGTAAACAAGTAAACCGTTTTCCCAGCTTTTTTCAGATTTAAACATCATAAAGATTATTCTGAATTTCAGAGTTCATCCAAACATCCGGTAAGTTAATGTTTTCCTGCATTTAGTCCCACCTTTTTTTTAGAGAGGTAAAGGAATTAGAGTTGTCGAACTATAAAAATGAAAGACCAGTGATTTGCCACAATATGTTTATTTGCGTGCAATTTAATGAAAAGGAGCTGTATTGCCAGACAGATCAGACAGTCGCGTGATAATCAGCGAAAGGGTGATTCATGACGGTGTAAATCATATGATTCTACCTTATCACGCGACAAGTATGTGCGCACGTTGACGAGATTCTAAAAAAAAGCATGACAGGAAGAAAAAAAATCAATAACGAGAGAACAGAGAATAATAAGCTCATCACACACAAGGTTAACTTGCGGAACTGCCAGTTTTTTGCCGGGTGCTCGATGAAAGTAGAGGCGAGCGGCGCACATAACGGCCACCTGCTGCGCAAGATGATACGAGCGTCACTTGTGCGTTAGGGAACTTACACTGTTTTGTCGTTTAGTAGCCGGAGGGGGGGGGGGCATATTAGTTTGACATATGAAGTGCATGAAGGTACATTTCCTGGACTATGTTCTGGAATTTCACAGAAAGCTATAGAAACTAGAAATCAAGCAGTTTGAAGCTTTTTTTTTTTAAAGAATGTATAAGAACATTTTTTGACAGAGAGCATAAGGCACCTTCACTTATTTTAAAGGAATGGGAACGTGTATGAGTTTTCAGTCGCAAAAAATCGCGCCTTTTGGTTAAGAATAGGGAGTGTACACCTACTTCACCCCTTTTAACGGAGGTTTCAGTAGAGTTACGCCCAAATCGAGATGAGTGGAACTAGACTGAAAAATGAGAGCCGAGTAGGAAACAGCGTCTTTACGCTGCACGGACGCAAGTATAGATAAAACATCTGAAATGAAACATATCTAAAAAGGATCATGTTCGCCATAGCTATCACGAGCGTTTGTTTTTCTAGCCAGGGTAAATTAACGAGGCCTGCGCAAGTGATGGGCTCCTGACAGGGTAAAGTACAAAAGTTCGAAGTTTTGTTTATTTTACCGGTAGAAAAGGTGGGCCACAGAAAGGGAAAAAATAGTGGAAGGAAAACATGTGATCAGTGGTACCTTGACGCTGTGGATGCGTCTTTTCAAGGTCAATCGAAAAGGGGCGGAGGTGCGGTAAAGACCAGTTAAAGGTAAATAGCTGGGAAAAATTTATTCCAGGGAGGTACATAGTAAGTAAGCAACTTTTCCTTATCAGTTTTAAATGCTCTTCTTCATTCGTTCCGCATTATTATTTGGCTGCAAATATATATTAAGCAATTTATCTAGAACCTCACGAAAAGCGCGGTTGTATACAAAAAAAAAAAAAAAACTCTTAAGAAACGCGAGGGATGTTTGTAAAAAATTCAAAATTCTTATGGTTACGCGTCAAAAGATGGATAATAAGTCTAAAAAGCTACAAGTCAGATTTTGTACTATCTCGCTTTTTGTAAACATAGCCTAAATTGTGCAACCTTTTTTAACTACGAAAAAAAAGCAACTTGTCTGATCTTTGTCAAATAGGCTTTGTTTTACAAATAGCGTAAAGCCACAATTTTTGTAACAAGTGACAAACTAATTTTAGGAAATTTAAAAAAAAAATTTGCATTTACACTTGCGTCATCAAACCATAATTTGTTTGTAGTAAGGATTGTATTGCTCATTAAACAAGAGGGAAAATGTCATATTAAGGATCCGAATTAAGGAAAATTGGGTTTATTCCCTCCAAAACGGCATATCCCAGATTGAAATTAAAATTGTCTAATTTTTTTGGGAACGATGTTTCCCATCCAATATTTGTCATCATGTCAGTTTTGTGGCTGAGTAGGTCTAACATCGTCAGTTCTGAATTTTGAACGCAAGCAACATTACTCGGAAATGATTCATAACTAGGAATCTTTGAGATAAACTCGAGGACACATGGAATGTTGAAATATTTCCCAATTTTTGTCAACTCAACAGCGGATATAATTGAATATGTCCGAATTCGTCGATGACTACTCGAGGTTAGTCTAGGAGGTGCCCGTACGAGTTGTTTCCGGACATCTAAACAACAGGAGCTTGCGGTGGAGTGAAGAATACGCAGGATATCTAAGGCAAGAACCAGGGCATTGTTTTATGATCTGTGTGGTTTCCTCGTTAAAACCACGAGATTTTTGTTCAATATTTTACAATGACCAGGTGTCTTTCTTTGACATAAGAATGATGCTTTTAATAAGAGAGGCTTTACAATAGTTAATGGATGTTTAGCAGAAAGTATAATGTATGTTTTTTCTTTTCCGAAGTGACAGGTTGAAAAATTTTGGCATATAAATACGATTTCTTTGTGTTGTTGAAGAAATTATTTTAAGCTTTCTAGTTTTCGTGGGCGACTCAGAGGTCTTCAAATAACGCAGAAAAGTCCAGAAATGTGCGCCGTAAAAGCACCCACATGTGTGTACACAAAATTTTTATTTATCTTAAAAGGACAGTAATCCTAACCGGAAACATAGTTTTATCCCAAATAGCCTGTCATGCAAATATTACACCCAGCTCTGTCACGTTTTTGATGTGACGCTATTGTTCTGGGCATGCCCAGTCAAGACGTATGAGCAAAATTTATTCAAACAATGAAAACTTCTCGCAGGTCAATCATGAAGTACAGCCGCGGTGTGAGCAGGTAACATGAGGAACGGATGAGGGGAACGGCTCTCTCCTTCTTGCAGTGAACGTATAAGTGGATCTTCTTCAAGAGTATGCCAGGGTACCGTGCGCATTTTGTTCCGGCGGTGAGCGAAAATTTATTATGCCGCATTTGTCACCTTCCAGTTAGAAACGCCGTTCAAGTGTCCGTTTGTGGACACAGATTTTGCGATTCTTGTCTCAATGGAGCCTTCAGTAACACGAGGTAAGTTACTTTATTGTTGTTCCTCTTGATCGTGGGTAGATTGATAGAGTAAACGTATAATCTTAAGCTGGTTAACTTCTTTTGAGAGAAAGAAATCTGGTGGATTTCAATTCGCACTTGAGGTGAGATCTTGCGAAACCAGTAAAGTGACAGAACAAAATTATTTCTCGACGATTTCTGGGATTTATGTGGGCGTTCAGCTAAATCTCAACTAATTCGTTGTTGTAAAGATTAATGTTCCCTTCTGTCGGATCTTCTGTTGCATTGTGTGGCGAATTATATTTTACGCGTAAACCGAATTTTTGAATAAAAATTTGATAGAATGTGCAAATATTTTTACAAGCAATTTTATAACACTCGGTATTCACAGTGGGGGTTTCTATTAAAACCTGCAAGCTTATTTTTCCTTTTGCGTTCGAGCTATCATTCATTTGTTGGCTAGTAGGTGATCGCAAAAGTTACAACAATGCTAGTATACATTTATCTCGGTGATATTTAGCTTTATGAACCAATTCTGACTCTCATCGTCGGCGAATTTAGACCTCTCAGCTGCGATCGATATACAAAGGGCCTATTCAGAAAAGGAAGATTAAATCGTAAACATTCATTGTGTAGAATATTTCGAGTCAGGGACCAAAATTAGCGCTTTTTTCCACACAAAAGACTTGAAATGTATGAGGGAATATCAGGCAATCTCATTTGTAACGTTTGTTTTGTTCATTTAGGTGATCTCGGACAGCTTTCAGTTGCATCCATTTCGATCTAATTTGAATTTTCCTACGATTCCATATATTGTCCGATATATCCATAATTGTTTCAAAGTTTTGTAAATAGTCGTATGTTCTGGAATATTTTTGACATCAAAGAAACAACGCAGTTGTCTTCCATGAACCTCTCTGGGAAAAAATACAATTTAGATTATGTTCCGGACGGATCACCGGCTGGACTGTGTCACAAAATGTTTTTTGCGCTGAATGATTGATCATGTTTTAGGTACAATGAACCGAGATTAAGAAATTTTCGAACCCCAAGTAAATTTTTCTGGCATGGTAAACAGTAAATGTTGTTATGGTGCTTCTTACAATCAAGAAGAATTTCCTTTCGAGCTATTGAGCCTGTCGTTGAAAAAAATCTAGAAGTGTTTATCTTTGCGAATCAATTATACTCCCTAGTTTACATTCCAGTCTGTGCGTCTGTTAGCAACTCTTTTATTTTCATCACTTTCGGAAAAGAAAATTGTAAAGTGTTTTCTAAGGTGTGATTTGTATAAACCCGTGCCCAGGAAATTACGTGTTTCGTTCCTTGACGCGGAAATTCCATGTTTCTGATCTGGGTAATGGAACCCAAATTTTTTTCTGAAAACAATTGCAAATCGGCCATTAAGGTTTCCTTGTGAAAATCCTCTCCAGCTCACAAAATGAGCCAGACTTTTATTTTCGGTCGATAGACAGTTTCAGTCAGTTTACGCAATCGTGAGATAAAGATAAGAAGAGTATTGAGATCAATAACAGCAATGATGACAAATGCATGCAAATTACACAATGTGCTCCTTGGAAATGTGGTTTTTGAGCCAAGGAATATTGTACACAAAAGATTAAATTTTTCTCCGTTCGGGCGGAAAAAAGACAATAATCTCTTGTATCCATGAGGCATTTCACACCATATCCTAAATTAAAAGATAAATTTTAATTGATGGTAAGGAAGCATCAATTCTTTGGAGTGTTTACCGAGAGAAAAGCTATTTTTTCATATTTTATTGCGGTGTTGATCTTCATAGCTAAGCTCTGTTCGGAAACAGTTGCGTGACAAAGAGTGAAACTGACATGAAATGACTAGACCTCTGTCAAGTTTACAGTGAGTGGTGTTGTTTGCAAAATTGTTTTGACAGAAATTCTGTGCAAAATTAATGGCTGAGTCAACACCAATTCTTTCTTCCAGTCGATGAACGTCATGTACAGAAACTCAACACAATTCAACGCACACAAGCGTTTTTTACTGAGTAAACGAACTAATGCTTGGAAGTAAACAACCAAAATGCACCGGAATTGAAATTTATACTTTGCGTGCCTTTGTTTCGTGGTGTCTTATGTTGCGTGAGAAATCATATCGCAAAATTTCATTATCAATTCATGCAGGTCGCGAGAGCTGTGACCTTGGTTTTTTCGTTGCGTGATCTATTGTTATGCTTTTAAAAAAATGGGCTCTTACGAACAATCGATCGAGCAATGCATTACGAAAAAATTCTTGTTTCGCTTTGATCAGATACAGTTCTGTTTGCTTAGAAGTTTACCTTTTGATGGTGCCAACTCAAGTGCTCTTTTCACAAATAACGTCATTTGCATGAAAAGTGGACATATCTGGTCTTGGAAATTTTAATCTCGACGTACCTTTCCTGTCGATGGTTGGATTAGGGTAAAATGCGGTAGATTGAAGTACTGAGGTCGTTGAAGAAGAAATAAATTGTTTATACAGAAAAGGAATTTAAATTCTGTAGGTGTTTGCTTAAGAGTCAGCAGACAACTTCTCAGAATCTTCATTGGCTTTTACTGTACCTTGAAATCAGTTTTCAATATTAAGGATCGCGATAAAGTAATTTAGCCCCAATATTGTCAGCCCTAATGTTTACCATTTAGTACCGTAACATTATGCTTTCCGGGCGGGCTTAATTATGCATAAGCCATATGGGCTTGAGGGATTTGATATTTGTAATGGCTAAATATATATTGCTCACTCATCTTTTTGTTATGCCATTGGGTTAGTGATACCAGATATGGTTATTTACGTAAACTGGTCGTTCTTAAAGTGATTAGCAAGAATTATTAAAAGAAGTCTTTCGCGGTTGCATAAACCTTGGGAATATTCTCAGCATTGTACAGATCGATAAACGTTTACTAAACCTTTCTTTTTTCCGCTTCTTTATGCTTATCTCCCTTTTCTTCCCTCTTAGTTTTTAACTTTGATATTCACACTATGACACACTGTCAAATTTTCCGCGGAAGTGCCAACATTTTCGCCGAAAAGAATTGTCAAACTTAATTTTCGTGGTCCTTTTGTTGAGGCGGCTCGCGTATCACGTTCCTTACAATACGACCCTCCGGCAGTAAATAAGCTCATTAGTACGCTCATTCTGTTCACGAGGAAAATATTGAGCTTTTTCTTGTATTTAAGTATTCATAATTAATGGTGACGCCCAATTTCCTTTTGTCAAGTGGAAAATGATACCCATCTTAGTAGCTCAGTTTCGACGCGATTGAAATGAGCTGTCAATGCCATATCCTCGCGTCGAGTGATATGGTTGTTTACTAAAGCGGCCTAACAAATCGACAAACTCTCGTCGATAATTGCAAACGTATTGCTTACTTCTCATTTCTACCGGTAAAGTTACTGAAATGCCGCGACTTTACATTTGGATTGATCCACCTTCTAGGCAAGCAGTCCGACTGAGATGTCCCGTGGACAGTTCAAGTATCGATTTGTCTCAGGTAAGAATTTTGTTTGTTGGTGATGCATCAACTTGAACCTCTTTGCTACATCTGCAACTAAAGTGTCTACTGGCGCTCATCCATCGCCCATTTAAATGCTAAAATTGAGTGTATGTGGCGGCGACGAGGGAAGGCAATTAGTAAACTTGTTCAGTCGAATACCGCCTAGATTAAAGCGATAAAAAAACTTGAAAAGAACAACTCTGTTGGAACCTTCACAGCCAGACACTGTGTCTGTTTCACTTAAGGATTTTTCAATTGCGCGTGTTTTTTTGTTTCCTAACAGTACACTCACACGATAAAATCAGCGCAGAATCTGCCAACTACAATGGACGTCAGAATCCCCACTTGCGACAATTCCAGTGTTGAAAGAAATGTTTTACCGCCTCCCAACTGTACATTTCGGTGCCCGTCCAGAAAACAAGAGAAATGCAAATTTTGAATGTAGTTCAAAGGCTAGCGTCGCGAAGTATAATTAGTAAGATGAATTATATACAAGTTTCAAGGTTGCTGCTTTTTTCCCACGCCATTTCACGGCTACATTATTCTTTTGAGGTATTTATCTCCGGAGGCACTTTTGCGGGATGACGTGATCCCGGCTCAGAATTTACCTGAGACACCCCCCTTTAAATTCAGTCCAAGTTGAGAGTTATTGTGCTTTTTGTTATCCTTTCATAAGCGAGGGATTAAATATAGTAAATTCGGATCTAACATCTTTAGATAACTACAGTAAATATTGGTCATGACCTCGTGACGACTAGTGCATTTAGGCGTTACCACCCGTGTTGCTTCTCAATGCGGTACTTTTCGCGTAGACTTAAACAACAGTTTTATTATAAACACGTCATTTAATTGTAATGCGTCTGTAAAACCCTATTTAACACCCATTTCCGTTTCTAAGATCTAATTGTTACTGTTTGTACTCATTGCGTGACAGATTTACGCGGATGATGTGACGAATCAGATGATATTTTCATTGAATGTTGTGTGTGACCACTATCAACTTGGCTGTAAGTGGAAAGGCCAGTTAAAGAAACTTGAGGTAAGATCCTCTGAATTTAACACTGTTTTTGTGGCTTAAAACATTCAACATTCTGGTGCAGTTTCCAATTATCGCGTAACAGTTCTCGTTACTAAGACGGGTGAACCAAAAAGCCACTCAGACCGACTCTCGCTAAGGTTGCGTTACCATTTTCTGTAGGATCACATGGCCAATTGCAAGTACGCTCAGGTGGAATGCATTGCAGGCTGCGGTCAGAAAGTTCAGCGGAGGAAGATCACCGAACATGTAAAGAAAGAATGTGTAAAGAGATGGGTAAAGTGTCCCCGCTGTAAAAAGGAAACAACGTTCGAGAATCTACAGGTAAGGGTTGTGTCTTGTAGCTGTCCAGCTATTTATTAGATAATGTGAGCCCACCATATCTAATTCCTAGCTTCTAGCCTCGTTCTTTGGAGTGCGCACTCATTTTGACCTTTCCCTTTGTGTTGCTATTTTATTTTAGATTTGTCTTCCTTTTCTGCATTCTTCCAGGATCTCCAAATCGATAATCCCATGGATAGAATTTAGAATTTAGTTTATTCGCCACGGGAATGCCAAGAGAAAGGAACAGAACTTTCGTGCGTGGGAAATTAACGTCTCCTACCCCTAACCCTGCAGGAGACGGGACCTCCATTTATTCGTCCCTATCCGAGAAGACTAGAATATGTAACCATTTCTTGATGTTATG